GGTTGAGCATTTATATTCTACATTACTTTGTTTTCTATAAGAATATTTCTTGAATGTGGTTTTTAATAAAGCAGTTATAGATAATTCATAGCAGTTTCCTAGCTCTTTGTGCAGTATTTTGATTTATATAGATATTTAGATAATTATGATATCTGCTACTCATTACCTAACTTTGTATTTCCATGGTCTGTTAAAGCAGCCTGGTTCATCTGTAGATTCTCATATAAGTTAAATATGCATAGAATACTGTAAGAAGAGAATATACGGAAATTGAAATTATGACCCCAGGTAACTGAGTATCTGAGGCTAGAGTATATGAGATGTAGGAGGTATTTCTGTCTTCTTTCTTTATTATGGAAAAAAATTTTTTTCATTTTGGATGCAGTATTTGTAGTCTGTCTTTGTATTCCCAAAGAAAACACTTTGTGCGTGCTTCATTTTTACTCATTATAATTTCTATTATAGCAGAATGAAAAGTTCTGTACCAAAATGTAGGAGGAAAAGACATCTACCCTCAGGAACTTGTAGTTTGGTTAGAGAACACAGAAAATAACAGAAATTGTGGATGCTCCCATTTTAAAAGTGAGGGGCTGAGTTACACCAGAAGGAAAGGCTTACTTCAAAATCCACTGAAGTTTTATTGAGTTGAATGCACTGTGGATTGACTTACCCAAGGTCACATTGGAGGCTCGTAGCTGAATTAAAGATGTAAACCAGGATTCCTAAATATCTGTCCTATTAGCCATAAGGTCATAATTTCCTCTAAGTATAATTCCCTAGAAAGAATAAGTATAATTTTTCAACAATTGTTTGCTACTCCCACTGCAGCAGCCGATAATTAAAGTCACTGTTATCTGATAAAATTCAGATTTGGTTTCGTTCCCCACAACTCTCTCATCCCCAAACTGAATGTCAAAGTCAGTAATTTAGAAATATGCAAATCCATTGAAAAGTGAACCTTGAAGGGCTTCAACCTGGCTTTTTGGACAGTCTTTAACTGTGCGGTTACTCTTACACTGTGCACAAGATGTGTACCTAGCGATGCTACTCCTGCATCACCCAGCAAACCACACTGGCTTTACAGAAAGTTGTAGATCTACAAAGAAAATAGGCTCAAACTTCAGACAAACTTTCAGCTGGCTTTCATAGCTGCTAATGAACAAGATGGTATGCAGTTGAAGTCAGATCCTAAAATCAGCTGAGCACCTCTGACAGCTAATAAGCTCAATGACATTTGAAAGCATTAGTCCGCTGGGAAATGGGAAAGGCTGCTTTACACTGGTATTCTTACAATTGCCTGTTCATCCCAGCAACCAGTGGTATAGTAAATTAAATAGAGATAGCATGGTGAATCCTAAACCAAATTTAATCATCATAAGATTATCTGGTGTTTTTCCAGAAAGAAATTAAATGAGAGAACCAGGGATTTGTCGCAGGAGGATCTCTTCTTTGTGTTTACAAGTTAAAGGTTGTTAAAGGTTCATAGTAAGGGACTTCATTGGGATAAAATGGAATCTAAAATGTTTTAGCATCACTGCATTTCTGAAATGTACCCTTTTCCTGGTACCGTTATTAATATATCTGCAAACAGCTCTTTCCAACCTCATCATTTCCTCTCCTTCAGAAATGATGGATTCATTTCAACCTTACCTGTGATAAAGCATTTCTAGAGCACAAGAGAAGTATTTTTTTATTGTTCTGTTGATATCAATAATAACTATTAGCGTGCTTAGCTTCACTGGTTTTGAAAAAGCTCTGCCAGTTTACTCTTGCTGAGCCAGTAAATCTTTGATACCAGATATGGACTCCATGTGTACGCTTTTAACACACATGCTACCTTATGTGTTTGAAAAATAATGAAGGATATATTACTTGCACCTTTTTTGTTCATTCTGTAAATGAACTGTTGAAGTGATATCTAATATGGATTTCTAATTTGATTTGGGAGTTGATGGTGGCTTTTGCATATAACTAACATATAACTAAATAAAAAAATAGAGTCCAGGGATTTGGGAATTAAATAGTGCTGCTGATTATTTTTCTTTTCTACTCACCAAATAAAAAGGTATAGCTAGATTGCTAACAATCTTTCTGTACTAATTATTACATGGAGATAGTTGAAGTCTGTGTTGGAAGCAATTTAAACCTTGTGTTTATGCAGTGGAAGTTTCCAATGTTGGTTTGTAATTTTCCATAGCTGTGGTGAAGAACCCCCCAAACAACCTGTGGATCATTGCAGCAGTGCTGGCTCCCATTGCTGTGGTTACAGTTATCATCATCATCATCACAGCGGTTCTGTGCAGAAAGAACAAGAACGACTTCAAACCAGACACCATGATGAACCTGCCTCAGAGAGCAAAAGTGAGTGACTGGTTTTTAGATCCAAGATGTCCATTTGCTTTCTGAGGCTTTAACTGTGTTTCTCTGATAGTTGAAGGAGGTTTGGAATTGAAAGGGTTGTTACTCATAGGTTGGATCTTTGCATTTCTCTGTCCTTGATGCCACCCACCGGTCACAGCAATTATCCTTCTCTTTTCCTCGGGGCTCATCAACTTCCATCACAGCTTGTCCCCTGTCAGTAAGAGTGACAGAGTAGCCATTACACAGTGATGTAAAGCACTGACCCATTAGGACTGAGTTGGCTTTACTCAAGGCACTGGCTTCCTTCATAAAATAGCCTGGGCCTCATCAGCAGCACATCTCCTGTGGGACCTCATTCTCTAACCCATCTCCTGAGCAGCTCCTACCTGCTGCAGGTGGCAATGACTGGAGCTCTGGACTTGGGCAGCAGTTCAGACCTGATCCTAACCAAAAGCTCTCCACCCAACTGCTGATCCAACAGATGTTCTTTCCATTTGTTTTTCAGAAAATTTCTCCCACTGACACTTTTCATTCAGATGTTTTGGACTTTCTAATTTATTTGAGGATGTTGTTGGTTGGGTACAAACAATTATATTTTTTTTGAAGTTACTAACCCATATTGATTACAGGTTTTGTTTGTTTGTTTGTTTGTTTGTTTGTTTGTTTTTGGACCAAATCAAATGTGTTTCCAGTTTGATTCTCTATCTTTTAACAGAAAAATGTCACAGAATACTGATTTGTCTCTGTAGTGGAAAAAAGTCTGCCTCCTCAATGCTGCTAATAAATGGCTCCTAAGCACAGCCACCCAAAGTGAGGAGTTTTTAGCCTACGGACCCTGTGTGTAGGTCATATGGTTCCTTCACCCTTTTAGCTGCCTTTGTTCTCCACTGGCATGTGATTGAAATGATAATTTTTGTCTTTGGTTTCCGAATGCTACAGACAGCAGGATTGTTGTGATTTCAGCTCTGTTGCTTCTGCTGAAAAATGTAGATTGGAGGGAGAGCTGAAGGAAGGCATGATGCATATGACAGCTCTTTTCTCCTCATCTTAGGTTAGTTGCAGATAGGCGCAGCTGGTGCCAATTTGAAAAAGACATTTGTATGAAAAATGAGGCGAAAAAGACACTTCCATTTTGGTTCCAGTATGTTCATTGTAGTGTTATCAAACTAGGGCTAAGAACTAGATCTGCAAAAGTGAAACAAACAATATCACAAACAAAAATTAGTGACACCGCAGTGAGATCATATAATGTCCCACTGAAACCTCTGAAATGCAAATCAGGCTTTATTAGGGGCCGTTGCAAATACTATCACCACTTGATTCTTCTTATATGTAATCTTAGTCCTAGCTAAAGAACAAAATGAGATGGAATTTGTACATTGTTTTGAGCTGGCCATCATTATGGGATGCTTTACAGCTGAAGCAAGTTCCTAAATAAAAAAACCCAAACACTGCTGGTTGAAGCTACAGCACAGAAAAAACTTGAAACTGTTTTAATATTTAATCCATAGCTGCCATTCCAAAGAGAAAGAGAAGGTTGAATCTTAACTCTTCCTGAGAAATCAGATTTTAATCAGGCTGTAAGATACATGGTCAGGTTAAAACCTCTTCAGTCAGGTTACATTTGCATCATCAGTCAATGTCATCAGACAGGAGTTAGATCTGCAGAGCAAACCAGTTGATGCTGTGCCCCCAGCAGCCACACTGTGCTCCTTCCAGGAGATTTTCCTGCAGACTTGCTCACAGTTGCAGCTGGAGTGCAGGAGGTCCACTCCAAGAGTGCAGTTCCCCTTCTTGGCCGATTTTGAGACTCCATGAAATTTAATTGAAGTCATTTATATGAGAAGTGATGCATTTCAAAGTGAAAGCTAAATTGCTTTCTGTTTAATTTCACAATGATAGCTTCATCAAAAAGGTTCAGCCAGGACCTAGTTCAGAGCATATGCTGGTGTATGGACTGTGGAAAATAAATTCTGCAGTGGGACAGGGAGTGGTCTGGTTTTGTCATTCCTGATCTCAGCATCTTTACTTAAAATAAGGTTAAGAAATGTGTCTGGGGAAGATAATGAAATAAGGTCATTTTGAAAATAACAATTTTAGTTTTAATTCCAGCATTAGGGATATCAGGAATAATGATGATTACTTGAGCTGAAGTGCTACACTTCATGCAGTTTGGCAATACATATAGCAGGTCAGCACATATCTATATCACATTTAAAATGAGTATCTTATATTTCATGGCTTAGAAAAGTACTTGAGACTGCTTGATTAATATTGAATCTGTTCTGTAAGTGGAGTCACAGTAGAGTGATTTTTAGTTTAAGAAGCAGCCTTAATGTTTTGTTTCTGCGTGTCTGAGATTTGCTGTTGAATCACTGGAGCAATTTTTTGATGCCTTTTGAATATCCAGCAAACTGTATAGAGAGGAAAAGAGAATATTATGGGATACTCACAGCCTTGGATTTCAGCTGGTTTTGTTTTCAGCGGTGCCCTTTTAGGTGTTTGGCTTCCAAAAGTCCTGCCCCAAGGGGACTGGCAGAGCAGAGCTGCTTGTTCATCACTGCAGGTCCTCCCAGAGCAGAGCTGCCTGCCACGTCCCTCCAGGAGCACAGTACGGAGGGTGATGAAGCACTGAACACTACATATCCTTCTGTAGCTGGGGGGTGATGTAACCTAACAGCAGGATTGCTGCCTGGCCTGGTAATTAAGGAATGACTTCTTTTATTGTAACAGACTGAAGGCTACGTAAGTGAAGTTTAAAAAATGACGTCTCATATGCAGTCTAGTTTATAATATCTTTCTTAGGAATTGTGTTGCTGTTCTGCATTGCCTTAACAGTCAGAGACATCTGGACTAAGTTGCAGGGAAAAAGGACTGTTACCATCTTTTTCAATTGTCTCTCCAATTGTAAAATGAAAACAAGTGTAAATTCAAATCAGTGAAATTCTGATGGGAGTTTATTTTAATGTTCTTTCAATGCTGTTTATATTTTAAGCAACTGTTTTTACTTTGAGGTTTTGGATAGATGTTAGCTGTTACCTCCCTTGCTTTCTAATTCACAACATGACTTTTTTAAGGGCTGTAATCTGATTTATCACCTTGCCTTTCTTTTAGAGCATGAAGGAATAAGCTTGCAGGTAAACAGAGATAAGATCTGCAGTTCAAGACCTGCAAGCCAAAGCAAATGCTGCAGGCCTTGAGAAAACAATCACTATCAATTTGATAAAGGGCATGGAAAAAAAAGATGAGAGAAACTGTCAGCGTACATGGGTGTACATGCAGAGAGGAGGGAGGCTGATCTCCCTTTCTTTTATTTCTTTTTTCTTTTTTTCTTATATTTTCTTTCTTTTTTCCTTTTTTTTTTTTTTTTTTTTAATATCAGTGTCTTTTTTCATGATCATTACAAGGAAAAAAGGTCCCAGAAACAACAAGAACTTCCTATATTCAATCTGCCCTTTGCCAGGCAGTGTAATTTAATGGTCTCATAATTCATTTATTATTTCAAAAGCAATATTCAAATCCCAGTCCTTGGGTCTTTCTCAGTACTTTGGCTGTATTGGACATCTACTTTTGCAGTGCTTCAAGATTTAGTCTTGCCAGCTACCTTCACGGGTGGTAAAGCCATCTGCTCCTGTGGGCTTTTACAAAGCAGGGATCCAAGATCAAATTTTATTTAACGCAATATGTCTGCTGATGAGGACGGCTTTTTCAGCTCTTCCTTTATTGCAGTTTGTTACTAGACATGGTGGTAAGTAGAACTCAGATTAAACTAATCCTTCATTTTCTTCCTTTGGCAGATCCTAGCTGGGACTCTACAGAGTTCTGTAGTAATTCTCATGTTCTGCTGCTTCTGGTTTGTTTCTGTTCGAGGGGGTTGTTTAGTTTTCTATTCTTTTGTTGTTGTGGTGTGGGTTTTTTTTAAGATGCTAAATGTAAGTTAAAACTTCTCTTTCAAAGGAGGGAGAAAACCTGATTTGTTTGGCTTTTCTTGTTTGTTACTTTTTTTGCAGAAAATCTAGGAGAGACTTGACTAAGACTTGAGATAATAAGGTTGAAAACCATTGTTTTGGTTAAAAATATCACTATCTAGTACGTTGTGCAGTAGTTCTTCCCAGCTGTCCTTCATGCAGCTTCTGCTTCCCCTTTCTTCATTTCCTTCTATTTCTTCATTTCCTCCGTTGGTAGCTAATTTGGTGGCTGCTTGTGTGGTACCCTCCTTTCAGAGGAGGGCAAGCAGAAGGCTCCGTCGGGGGTGAGATCCTCATGACTTGCTACGGGTTGATGGGGAATTGTCATTTCTCTGATGTGTTGCAAGTTCCATTGTGGTAATGTGGGGAGATGTCTGTTCTCCCAAATCAGCATTGCCTCAGCTAGCATCTGCTTAATGCACCAGAGATACTTACCAGAGGAATACTGTAGTATGGGAGCACATTAGAAACTGTCAGCCTCAGTTCAAATGGGAGGCTGGGAATGTGATGAACACGCCCATAAACAAAAAGCATGGGGTTTTTTTGTTTTAAAAAATAGAAGACAGCACCATTATTTTCAGATTGAGATCACCTATGAAATGTATCTGTATTTATAGCTAGAACCCAGATTCGTTAAGGGACAGAACAAAAGAAAGTTTTTCTTCAGAGTTCATTCTTTTTCTGTGCTATCAGCAAATATTTTTATCCAGCTGATTTTCTTCCAGAACTAAAATATTCAATGACAACATGACAGAAACCTTGGAGAGACAGTTCAGTTACTGACTATTCAATTCTGATGTGCTTCCCAAAGTATGCTTGAGGGTTAAAATCACCACTGCTCACTTCTGAAGTGTTTTGTGGTGCTTTTAAAGCATTCTGTCAATAGTCTTTGTACTTCAGAAAGAGCAGCCTTCTAGGTTTTGGTAAATTAATTCAATTTAGTGTAACAAGAACATTTTTGTGTTACATATTTTATCCAGAGGTGGTCAGGAATTTGAGTAATTTATCTTTCATACTGGTTTTCCTTCTCTTTTTTCCAATAGAAAATGCAGGTTGGTGCCTGGTGGTTGTTTTTTGTGCAGTTCTACTTGTTCTTTGCAAAGGCAGCAGGAAAAGCCCGGCCAGGCGTCAGGGAAGGAGAGATAAGGCTTTTGCAAGCGCCTCTTCCCAAGAGAAACAAGTGAAGTCAATAACAACCTTCCCAGCAGGCAACTGCAGCCAGGGGAAATAGAATTTCACTGATCTGAAAAAAAGACCCTTTTCTGGAAAATGCTGCCCGTGAAACTTTGATGTGTGCCTTTTTTACTTTGTCTTGATCTGGAATAAATTACTCTCACCCTCTTTGAAAACACGAGATTTTTGTCAGAGAAAGTTTTCTGGTTTTTATAGGGTCTTATTTGTCTCACTTCCAGTTTTTTCTTCTATATGCTCATTCTTCTGTTGTCTGTTAAAGGAACTTCTGGGGGTGTTACAGCAGGGTATGAAAGGTTAGCCAAGATCAAGTTTATACTTGCTAATCAGGATTAAAATATGTGGAATGGAGATCTCATCAGAAAATGGCTTCATTGTTGGGCGCGCCTATGTCAATCTACATATTTGTACCTCATGTAATTAAAGAAGTTAAGGGGTAGTGGAAAATTTTATACTGGAGTGGAAATTTTATATTAACATATGACGCATGCTGCAAATTTCTTTTTTTCTCCCACTTTTTTTGCAGCCTGTCCAAGGCTTTGACTATGCCAAGCAACACTTAGGTCAGCAAGGAGCTGAAGATGAGGTTTTACCTGTAACTCAGGAGACCGTTGTACTCCCGCTTCCAGTTAGAGATGCTCCTGCCTCCCAAGAGAGAGAAATTACTCAGGATGGGAGTACCATCAAAACTGCCAAATCCAATGAAACAAGGAAAAGGTACAGACTGGCATGTTTCCTAAGAGGGGTGGGATAGGGTATGTGCTGCTGGTTGCTTAGGAAAAACCTGCAAGGTTTGGTTTCCAGGCTCTGTGTGTGGCAGATGGTTCCTCCAGGATAAATTCTTGGCATATCACTGGTCTGCGCTGGATGTGTAAGTTTGCTGCAAAGTGCAGGATAAAATAAAGTGAAATCTTCAGAGACTGTACATGCATAGAGTAGGTAAACGGGAAGTGGCTCTTGTATGCATGTTGGTGTTGTGTAAGAGATGAACCCAAACAAAGCATGGGATATGGAGCATAAACAGTGATTGTTTCTCAGATGAACCAGAGGACAGGACCTTAGCCACTCTAAGTTGCTGTAGCTCTAATAACAGACTCTGTCACTCCCGAATTGCACCCAATGCCTTCCTTAGCAGAAAGGGAAAACACCAAACATCCACTAAATTGTGAAAGACTTCTAGATCCAAAGCATCTACAGCCAGACAAAACTTCTGAGAGTGTAAGAACAGACCAGATAACATCAGTGTATAGGGTAAAGTGTCCCAGGTTTGCAGTTTATTCATAGTAAGTCTACAGGGTTGTAGGATCACAGATTCAATGTCCCCAGGAAGCTGTCTGGCTCTTCCTCTTCTCCCTTGCAGGGTCAAGTACACCCCTAACTCAACTTCATCTAACTTTTTTAAAGTCTTCCAGTGGTGGGATTACCACAACTTCCTCGAGCAATCTGTTCTTCACTACCTTTCCCACTAGGAGGTTTTATCTCTTGTCTACCATCAATCATCATGAGAATAGCTGAAGGTGATTGTTTCTTGTCTCAGTGATTTCAGGCAAGGAAAGCGGGTTATCCCTTTATCCTAGCTGTTTTGCATGGTTCAAGTGGATTTTTTCTTTGACCTGCTCTCCTTGAAATTAAGTGGGTGATCATCAACTTTTTATTGCTGAAGAATAATACTGAAGGGAAGAGAGGAAAATGAAATTGTTAGGTAAGCAGCTTTAATAGAGGTAACAGTCATTGTCTAGTTCACTGACATTGGTCATAAGCTGAGGATTTCCTGAAGAAAAAGGGAAACAGAGGGATCCTGAGCTGGTGTCTGGTTTGGCATGCTTCTCTGGTTGCATAGTAAATCACCTAGAACATGGAGAGAGCTGACTGCAGGGAGTACCAATAGAGGACTTAGTTAGCAGAGAACTCCCCTGATTGCTGTGATTGCTTCACTGGGTTTGGGTGTGAATTGTTATTCTGCGCTTTAATGTCAGTGATATGTTGTTCATACCATAACTATTTGAACTGTGAGAGTCAGGTTATATAGGATGTGTGCACCAAGCAGCTCTTGTCCCTTTTGAAGTCTTTTGTCCTCTGATGAAATACAAATTACATGGGAGATGATAGATAACCATGACACCGTCTGTGGCTGCTGGTGCTGGACCACCACAGATTAAGCCTTTGCAGGAACTAGAATTGTTCTTCAATATGTTTTGAAGTGTCTCCAAAGTCACGTGTAGACACACACAAAAAGTGTAAACCAGCCCTATTAATGAACCCTCTGACAAAAGTGATTAAACACTCAGTCCTTTGAATGAGCGCAGAAATTCTCCTCTACTTAATCTCCAGTTTTAAACAAACATTGATAAGCAAACTTGATCTGGGAAGTCAAAGGAAAGTTATTCTCATTCAAAGATGTGTTGTGCCTTTCTAAGCAAATAACTAAGAGTTAGTTTTGTCTCCTTCAGGGTGATAGCTTGAGTAAGTGAGAACATGCAGAATTTGAGGCTTTTTTCATTCCCAGGAGCGGTTTCTGGGGATGGAATTTAACGGTTTCTGAAGATGAAGAAATCTTTCTTGACCTTTATGTATTTGCTCTCTCATCCAGGCTATTTTGCAGCCAGGAAAGGCCAATCTAAATCAGACTGCCATGGAGTGACTGGTAACTGATCAGAGTATCTTCTCTGATATTAACACTGAAGGAAACTTCACGGTTAATAATACCATGGCCATTTAAAAAGGATGAATACTTAGATTGGTAGCAGCAGAAAACATTCTGCAAACTATCTGTGCTCACTGCTTTTCCTCGTTCCCCAGTGGAGCAGATTTTCTTCATGTGTTGGCCTGTCCTGGATGGATTGTTTTTACAGGCTAGGATTATTCATTAGCAGTGGCAGGCAGGTTTATAAGGGAGAAATGTTACTTTTCAGGAGTATTTAGCCTCAATGGAATTTCACAAGAAAATCCTTAGGCTGGGCTGGACTGAGGTGGGTTGCATGCTGAGTTCTCCTAAATCCCTGTAGCTGGGACAAGCCTCTCTCAAATTATCTATATATGTTTCCACCTAGGATATCTTCAAACAAGAGTTCCTAAACATTACTTTGCTCATACTTGTCCCTTTCTGTTCTGACCACAGTAAAAGCTCTCTACTTAGACCAGACAGGGCAGTCAGAACCTGAGGTAAATGAAAGTTTTGAGCTGGCAATGTAGTCTTGGCAATAATTTTTAGGATGATTTTTACAGTTGTTTTGCTTTAGTACCATATTCTGGATGTAAAGCCATTCTGACAGCAATAGAACTTGATTGGATTTTTTCCTCTGTAAATGAAAGTCATTGTGACTAAGCCCATTCTTTTTCTCTAATACAACCTATTTACATTATCCTGTCATTAGTCATGACAATGCTAGATTGTAGACGGGTGCATGAGTACAGATCCTGTAGACAGTTTTCATTCCCATTGTGGCAAGTTTTACATGTAGCGACATTGTGATGCCATGTCCCGATGTGGAGCAGCACCAAGTCTAACACTTTCTGCTTTGGCCTGCTTTTCCCAACTTGTGCATTAGGATTTGAGTAATTTGCTCCCCCAGAAAGAAGAGAACTTTTGAGAGCTTGCTCCCAGTGCAGCCCAGTTACACTGCTCATTTCTGTTCTTGCTCCTGGTTGGGACTGAATGCTTGCAGCAGTTCTGCTCTGTCCTCCCTCCTTGGCCTGTGCAGGGACCAGTTTTAGGGCAAGAATATGCAATGGCTGAGTAAAACAAGCATTTTCTTAGAAGATCCAGCAAGTAATAGTGCTGGTTAAACCAGGTTATGTCCAAAAAAATGGAGAATTTTCTTATCACATTGTGTGTGTGTATGTGTAAAGTGAGTGACTGAACTTTACATTGTGACTGACAAAACAAGTTGAGTGTAAATGAAGGCTAAAAAATGAAGGGGTTAGTTTAGCTGTATATACATAAACAAAGGTCTGCTTTATTTTAGCTGTGTAAATGGCACTGAATTGATAACAGGACTTTCTGTCCTCTGCAGTGCCACTTCTGTCATTGTGGGGGTTGTGCATGAGATGTGGTTGCATTTGATGCCACTAAGATACCCATTAACCCTGAACTAATTGAGAAGTCCTGTTCTCTGTTCCTGCCTTCACTGTGTTTCATGTGCAGTTTATATTCTGTCTCCTTTTGGTACAAAATCAGGCTTGAAAACTCAGTGATGCAAACTGTGTGCAGATGAAATAACCTTGAGATGAGGTTTACAAGGAAGAACTCACATTCTCCCTTGTTGCTATGGTTACTTGCAGCCGGTCCCCAAGTCAGAACGGCTCCATCATCAGCAATGGGTCGGGGAAGCCCAGCTCTGAGCGGAGCTCCCTCCAGAAAGTAATGGCACCGCAGAAAGTGGCAAAAGAGGAAGGAAGGAAAAGAAATGGTGAGCCATACCCACGCAGGCACTGGCTGTGCTGAAACCATCTTACTATATCTTCAGCAGTACTTGCGCATTTTCTGTGTGTAGCTGTTGTTTTGTTTGGTTGGTTGGTGTTTTTCTTCCTCCTTACTGCTCTGACTTTCTCAAACTCACATCAACACTATGGTGCCTACTCTTTGTGTGGGCCTTTGCAAGATTTCTTTCTTTTTGTTTTTTTTTTTCTTCTTTAAATACCAGTAAACTAATGAAAATGTGATGCTGCTTAGTAGGCGGACAGGGTTTAAAGCTTTTTCTTCTGCATAGAGCCTTAAGATAATAATTTCCATTACTGCTGTTGCTAAGCTGGCCCAGATCTGATGAAGATGAATTAACTAGGTAAAAATTAATTTGCGAAAGTGTAAGAGAGCCAGTGCTTTAACTTTCCATCTCTTATCCTCCTTGTCATACCTTTTTGTTATTAAGACTTACTGTCAGCTTTTCCTGATGCACTTAGGATGTCACACTGGATGTTTTTCACAATTCCTTGGTTGATGACAGTGGCCTTATGACTTGAGATGTATCAGGAACATCTGATGAGAGTTGAATTCAATCCCCTTGCTTTTCTTTTGGCTGTCTCTCTGCCTATTTCTCCTGAGTTAGAGCTTTGCTTCCATATTTGCCATATGAATGGGAAACACTGTGGGTGAACCAATTGATCACTTCTCTCTAAAGGGAGGGAATTAAACTGGATGGGGTCTCATCAGCTTCTGTCCTGACCACAAGTTTATAATTAAATTGTTAAGATGTAAATGTGGACAGAAGGACTCGGTTAAAGAGAAAATCTTGGTGTAGCTCTCTTCTCCTTTCTCCAGAAAATCACCTGATGGCAATCCTGGTGTCAGACCATGTCATCTTTTGATGGTCATTATGCCTAATACTAAAGTGTCATGCAAAGGCTTTGCTGCTTTAGCAGGAATACAGTGCAATACAGAGACAGATATAAAGCACCAGAGATGGCCTCTCTTTTGTACATCAAAATCGTACTGCATTTATAAGTGTCCTCTGTTCTTTCCATTCATGAACCATCCTGTGGGGACCATAGAGCTGATGTAACTGCAGTGTTCTGTTTTTAAATCACCTTCACTGAGATTTATGCACATTTGCAAATTCACACAGGGAAGCAAAGTTGTTAATTGTCTTTTGTTATGTGTTTGTCATCAGTTTGTCATCAGTACCGCTTTCTTCTGACACATCTGTCACTCTAATGATTATTCCAGACCTGTAATAACAGGTATTCTGACTGGTCTTTCTCAAAGATCTTTTTTTTTTCACAGACAGCATAACAATATTTCATGGTTCGAAGTTTCAAGGGTCATAATTATTTTTTCACTGTTTCAAATGCAGCTTATTTTACGAGTCAGCAACATTTATAATTTACATGGTTAAAAGCTGTAATTTATGCTGTGGTTTTTTATTTCCCTTCTCAGGAAAGCCAATATTCAAAGCCAGTGTCAGCTTATGTTTATACGTGTAGGTAAAATAATTAAGTGAAGGTATTCTTTTCTTTTTAATTTTGTTAGGTTTTAGATCTTCAAAGAAAACTGGTAAGAACTTCCCACTTCTTTGGTAAAGAGTTGACTAACATCTAACATCTCGTGATCTGGACTGTAGTGTGTTTCTAGAACATACACATGCTACTTAAACAAACCTTTCCATGTAGTATAAGGGAACACTGATCTTTCCTTTTAAATCTTAAATCCATTATAATTTTAGCTTCAACTTTATTTGATAACAGTAACTACACACTTTTCAAATTGAGCTGGAAAACTAACAACTGTTGTACTTACATGTTTATTTTACCTCCTCTTTTCTGTCTTCTGAAAAAAAGCCTGAACAATGATGTTATCTACTATGGTCATGGTGCTCTTTATTCAAAGCACCTAAATGATTTCTAGTTCTAGTGCCATAGAGAAAATATCTTTAGTGTATACTCCATTCATACTATGGATTCTTATAATGCATTCCTACTGCATGCTGGCACCAAGGTCTTGACCTGTGGCAGAAAGGAAGAGCAGTGTTTGCCCTCTGTAGTAGTAGTACATACTACTATATTCATATATAAAAAGTGTGAAACAGATAGGCTGTTTCTGCCCAACTGTTCTGGCTTTGAAGGAACCTGTGCATAAACTAGCTTGTCTGCAGAGCCCTCCATGTAGACATGTCAGCTCCTTCCAGAGCAACTTCCTTCACTTGAGCTTCCTCACCTGGTTGTATGCTGATTCCTCTAATGCGCATGTCAGCAAAAGCAGCAGCATATTTTCTTCCCTGAAAAGCAGCGTCTTAAAACTGGGATGAATCCCTTGATGGTCACATGTTTGATTTGGGGACTCCAAGTTAGAATGGCTCATTAGTTGCCATAGTTACAGACCAATTTTAGATTCTATTTATTGCTGACATTTAGTTACATGGAAAAATGACAGCACTGGATGTTACCTCAGTACATAAACTATATGGTATCAAAATCGACTTCAAACGGAATGTATCAGGGCTGAGAGTGAACAATGTGAACCCAGCCTAGGCTGACAGGCTTGGCTTAAGGACCTGATGTTTTGGAGGATCAGGAGTACGCCTCAACTAAGCCTTATTTCTATGGAAAACAAAAACATGAATAAAATATCTATTTGTATTAAATAGTGATGAACTTTTGTAGGATAATTGCATTTGTTTCTTTTTGTTTTTCTTGGAAAACACTTATTAGTATTTTAATAGGATGTTTCCTTTCTAAAAGTTGATGAGTTACTTTGGGCACTTAGAAACAAAAATTAGAACCTTTTTTAACAAGTGCCAAGTTGCACATGTTAGAGGACTGTGAGATGAATGAAGCAGCACACAGAGGTACTGGCAATTTCCGAGATGGGTTTGTAAGAGAGTGTGGAAGAGAATAACAGGATATTAACACTTTCATCTATCATTTCATCAGGCCAAACGTCATTCAGGGTGAAGCAAATGGCTGAACCCACTTGTATTTAAAGAACTACAGCAGCCTACAGTAAAACGTTTCCTTTCACCAGCTCCTCACAAAACGAAGCCAGTGAAAATGGTATTTGTTGTTATTCCAATATTTAAATGTTTGGTTTTGCAGCTTTCCCAATAGCATCTTTGGGAGGTCATGATTGCTTGTTTGTTTTGAGAAAGGTGAAAGCTTTAGTTTGATAGCAGTTCTTAGTGAAGCAAATGACTCCATACCTTTTGAGCTGCAAACTCTCACATAGTTGAGCCCAGTTAAGTAATTGAACCTCATCATTGTGAAAGGAGACACACACATTACAGGCAGAGTTGTGCAAGCAGCATCTTGTCAAACTTCCTTGTGTAAGAAACTCTCCTTTCCTCCCCTTAGGAATCCCAGCTGGAATACTTCTCCTCTTCCAAGCATGTGGTCTTTGTCTTTAGAAATAGATGTAACTTTTCAGAAGTCTTTCAAGTCAAGGGCCTCACTCCTTTATAAGATATCAGTCTCTAAGACTATCATTTTCTTTGTCCAGGCAGAAGCTGTCATTTAATTTTTTAATTCTGTTTTCCTTCTGGTCTTTGTAGAGATATCTGAAAATAAGGTGTCTGCAGGAACAAAGTGCTAGGGAGGAAAAGTTGTCTGTATTATTGGCTTAGCTAAAATCAAAGGGATTTTTGGATCTAACTCAGCCAAGCCATGATGCACCGCTTCCTTTATTCTACAGAAGTGTGGGCCACTGGTTTTCATGCTGGCTGATGTGGCAGCTCAGCCTTGAAGCCAGCTTTTCTGAATTTCTGAGTAGCTGTCTGTAGTGACTCAAATTGAAATGATATATGGCAACAGCAATTGAATCTAGGAGCAGCGATGTAGCAGTCTGCTTTGACAAAGAGTTAGCTGGAGGATGTGGTGTATTCCAGCAAACATCCAGAACCCTTCATCTGCCTTCTCTGTGCAGGGTGGGTGAAACGCAAGTTAGAGTGGAAGGGGTTTTATCTTGCCAAATTTCGGTCCTTTAAAATTGGCTTCCTAATCTAACCTAACCAAGTAGGCTTTCTAGTGATTCCAGAGGGTCACAGCTAACTGGGACAGGACCTCTCTGTTCTGGAGGTACTCACCTTTCCCTCCAGTAAGGAAGAAGCTCAGACAACCGCACTGGAGCATATGTGCAGGTTTGAAGTGAGATGATTCCCTTTCACGATGCCTGTGCCTCTGAAGGGCTGAGAAATCAGAGTGCTGGGAAGAATTTATGGTGTAGACAAGAGTCTGTTCTTTTTGTCATTCATTCCCTCATCCTGAACTATTAGCTTCATTTGCCCCAGGAAATGGTAGTGGGGATCTTGATCTAAGTCTTCATCTGCTCACAGTAAACTCCTAGGCTTTTCGGGGGTAATTTCCTGACATTGAAAAAAGAAAAAAAAAAGATTGAACAAAATCTACTTGTTCAGCTGCAGTCCCTTGTCCTGGCGCAGTTACTGTTCTTCTTGAGCCTCCCAGAAGCTTTACACGTTGATTCTTTATTTTTCCCCAAAATTTTCAGCTTGTGTGACATAGCCTAATATTTCTCCATACTCTTTCCATTTCTTCCACTGTCTATTTTTTGTGTGCTTGTGTTAGATGTAGCAAGCACAGTGACGCTGCTAGCATTGTGCTGCTGACAGTGGACTCCTTGTTCCTTCAGACATAGCCAATGTCATTTCCTGCTGCTTTTCCACTTGGTTTCAGTTTGCAAGAAGCAGCCAAGTGTTGGAACCTGTTCTGTGAACTTCTGAGCCTCTTCACGCTCCTACAAAAGCAAAAGATGCCAGTGCTCCACTGCCTCTTTCCCCAGAGACTGGGAGCAACCCGGCACTTCCAAGCTGTCCATGGGGCCACCCTGGTGCTGTATTCACAGGCATGGTGGAACTTGCATGGAATAAGTAGGAAATACTTTCTGTTTGGACTTTTAGGTCAGCATGGCTAACCCAGCTTGCTTTTTTTCTTTTCTTTTCTTTTGAGCCAGTCTTTATTTGCATTTCTCATAGCAAGAAAATACTTTATCCTGTGTTGCTAAGGCGCCTGTTGCAGCAGACTTCTGAAGGAACTGGGATCTGCAGGTTGCACAATTGTTTCTTAATTCAGATCTGCCTTCCCCTTCAGAGGACCTTTGCACTGCCACTGGTTGAGTCTGACAGCAGTTTTCATCCAAGCAACAGCACGAAGGGCGTGTGGATGTTCATGCCGTCAGATCCAGGGGTAGTCTGGATGGCTGTGATCTTTCACTAATATGCCAGCACTGAAGAAGACAAATGTATGGGTTTATTGTGCAAATAGAAACCTATTTCCGCAAAGCCTTTTAAAACTCATAAAGCACTACTTTACTGCTTAAAGAAGTGGCTTCTGTTGTAGGTTCTCATGCCTTCCCTATCTTCTTTGTGTCATCATCCTTGTGAGTTAAATAAGTTTTTAAAGTTATTGAACATGTGTAGGATGGCATTACAGAAGTGTCAGTCAAGAACAGGGGCTGATGGATTCTCTACAAACATTATGAAGTACAGTGTCCCTTTTTGGAATGATTTGATATTTTAATAGATGAGGCAGATGTGGTTGAAGGAGAAGGTATAACCACAGAAAGAGGTATCCTTGCATCTGCTAATAGGGACAAGAAGCCTGCATAGCAAGTGAATGAAACAAGCAGCTGACAGAAGACTAGACACCCCATGTGTACAGTTTCATTAAAACCTGCAAATACTGGCTTAGAGATCTTGGATGACCTGGTTGGGCAACCCCTCTTTCAGGATCCCAGGCAAGCCCAGGACTGCAGCACCTCAGGCACATGGCCTGGCTTTTAGCAGATGTTGCATATGAGAAAATAGTATCCAGGAGGAATCATGAACAGCTTCCTGTAATCAGGAACTGCACCTCTAAGCTATCCGTTTCTCTGAAAATATAATATTTGTGCTGTTCATGAAAGACAAGCACAGTGTCTCACAGCTGGGTATATTTTGCAAAGGGGGTTGATGCATGTGTAAACAAGTATGTTTTCTGATATGCTGCAGTATCCTATGGAGAGGTATTTCAGTCCCGAAACGGTTCAGATACTGATGGTAGGACACTTATATTTTACTTGTAGGCTTACAAACTCCTTCAGAAACATTCATTTCTTTATTGCTAAGAGCTCTTGCTCATACCTTTCTGGAGGTAGTCAGCTGGCCAAGGGGATGATTCAGATGATGTAGAAAATTTTTAATATTTTTCTGTATAGATTTTCCTCTAAAATGAAAATTATTTCCACATTACTAATTTACACTCAGTACTCAGGATTTCTGTTTGAAATACTGATACTCAGGCTCTTTCCTAAGGAGCTAGGCTTTTAGATCTGTGGCATAGTTTGCTATACTATGGGTATACACTTGATGTTTGGTTACAATATTTGCATTCCCTTTATACTAAATAAATCTTCAAAAATTTTTAATGCTGCCCATTTAATGACCTAAGAAAAGGAAAAGCACATCCACCTGCTTGAGAGTGTTTCCCAGACCTTGGCTTTCTGTGTTTTTCTCCATTGATAGAATCATGGAATGGATAGGGTTGGAAAGGACCTTAAGATCATCAGAGGTCCTCAGAGATGTCATTCTTTTCCTGAGGACTTCCAAGATCGGTCTGATTGTTGCTTCTGAGCAGGACAGCACATATCTTTGTTTCAGGTATTTTGCTATAAGGTTACCTGATCCACAGGTAATTTAAATTTCCTTACTGTTTTTTTTACAGGTAAGTATTTCAGTCCTGTTTTTCTCCCAACATATTTTGATTTGGGAGAGGGGGACGAAAGACAAGGAGGGGGGAAAGACAGAAGAGAAGAAATCCTGGATGGCCTTCATATTGAAATCTTAGGTTGACAAAAGTACATATTTTTTTTAATATCAATTAATAACTAGATAAAAATAGACTGTTCCACCTGTCTAACCGGTCCTTAACTGCTCAGAGCCACAGTTCCACAGCCCCTTTCCAGCTGGTTGGAGGACCAGTGGCACCACCTGCTGGCATTCCTTGCTGGCAGTAGTGCAGAGCTGCACCCGAATCTGAGGCTAGCATCCCTGAAGCAGCTTTAATCTGTCAAACCTTGTATTCTGACTGCCGCAGTGATGTGGAGATAAAGCTTCCGCGATAGTCCTGCTCTTCAAAAACCCGGTGCTACACTGATCTTCACTGCAATTAGCAATCAACCTAAATAAATTATTTCTTTGGATAGATCATATGCTTTGGTCACAGGAAGATTAGGAAGAGTAATTCAGTCTCAGTGGATCATGTGGCATGAGATACCTAGCACAAGATGTTTCAGACATGGGAAATTACTGTTAAGTAGGTGATTAAGGCTTTTTTTCCCCCTTTTCTGCTGCTGAACTTCTTGCTATGTGTGCATGTAGACAATGCAAGCAAGAGTAGAACAATGAATCCATAATAATGTTGGTATGCGTTTATTTAAAGGCAGAAATTGAAAGCATTGTGTCCATGCCTGTGGCAGGTGGAGTGGAACTAAATGATCTTAAGGTGCTTTCAACCCTAACCATACTGTAATTCTATGAAATCTGTGTTGCTATATGCTTATTGTGAGTGATTGTAAAGAATACCTGTGCAGTTTTCTGAAGCTTCCCCTGCCTGCCAGCTGCTTGCCCACTGAGGGGTTTGGCTGGGTGGACAGGCCTGGGGCAGGGAGACACAGCAGAAACAAACACTCCAGAGCTCCCACTTTCTGCTGGGCTCCCTTTGGTTTCCAAACTGCTGTGATTCAACCAGGTTATAAATGCTTGCTGAAAATTATCATGGAAAGAGGCAGAAGAAATATTAAAATTCCCATACTACTTGTTTATGGTTCACTTGCCAGTAGCTGAAAATCACAGACTCTCTTTATCACCCGTCAGTGAAAAAAAGGGCAGTGGAAAAAACCCCCCCACTTTTATAAATGCCAATTAGTGAACAAATGCTAAGTTAAGGTGGAATATACTTCCGATTTCTAGGTTCATTGGCTATTATCTTCATGCCAATAGCACTGTAGTAGATATAGATGTGCTAACCAGTGAGAGGGCTGATACTGAGGGTGCTCTTTGGTGTTAGCATATCAGAAGTAGCTGTCATCTCTGATTCCCAATTCTCTTTACTCTTAATTTTTCTTTTCTTTTCTTTAATGAGTCTTCAAACCAGAGGAATCCTGTTTAATTAAGCAAAACTTGGTTTCTGATCCTGAAATGGGGCCTGAAGAGACAACCCACACTTCTGTAGCTATTCATACTCTCTGTGGGTACCTGGCGGTCACCGATGAGGTCTTGTCAAGTGCAGTCCTGAAACACTGGGGAGGAAATGCAGCGACGCTTCTTGGTGCTTTCTGCTTGCTATAGGGTACACAGACAGTGCTGGGAAAGAATCATGTTTTGGAAGTTGATGCTTAGCCAGGGGTTTTGGGTATGTCTGGCTCAGGCAGATGTGGAGACAGGCAACCAAGGAGAAGGGATTCCACAACTTCTTGGTACTTAGATCACTGATGAGATACTATCCAGGCTCACCTAAGCTGTAATTATTATGAGACACCATCTTTGTTGGTGAAAAACACAATTCAGACACTTTTTCTCTCTTAGAGATGGCTGTGTCACAGCAGAGGTACCTTGTTAAGGTAGCATGGAAGTTTCAGTGGTGAACCGCAGACAAGACTCATCTTCCAGAACTGCATCTGGTGGCTTACATGAGAACTGAACTGATTCAGAATGTCTCCAGAGAAGAATGTCCACGCTTCACTTATATACTTGTTGTGGTATAAAAGCCTTCCTGTTCACATGCAGCCTGTCACAGGCAGGCATCTCTTTGTTTGTCTGCTTTTGCTGATCTTTGGCAGCATGATCATCAGGGGGAGTCCAGCAGTTGATTTCACTGAGCCAGGTTTGTGAGCCTGTACAAATTCAGTGTTTGAACAGCCCCAGGAGGGACGAAGGGATTTCAGACCCACTAAAGACTCTATCGTATTTGGGCAGTTCCATGGAGCTAGAGGGACAATATTTAATGACAGAGTGATTTAACCCATGTATTTCTCAAACACTCAAGTGGTGTCAACTCCAGTTCATGCCGAGTATAGGCAGAAAGATAATGAGCTTACTCAGGGGCTTCATATTTTGTGTTACACACTGTCAAATATTTTCTTACCAACATCATTGGCTGTCTAAACTGCTGAGTTTATACAAGTCCATTATAATTTGTGCAGTGATTAAATATTAAACCGGAGTGTATTTTCAGAGGAAATAAATTTAGAGCAGACCACTTTGTTCTTTAGCAAAGCATCTCTGCTCCTGTCAGTTAGGAGATGGAGCAAATATTCTTCCCTCTAATAGCATAATCCTTCAAAAATGTTTGCAAGGGTTTCTTTGTAGAATACATGCTTGTGCTTTAGAGTCATTCTATTTCAAAATGAGGATAAAGGGTTTAAGATTCAACAGCTGACAAGGCAATGCAGGCTTACAAACAAAATGAGGAGGAGAAAGGACCCAGTTGTTGAGTTATGCATTTACGTAGAAATGTAAAAGTAAAGATACTTTGCCATGCCATTTGATTTTCAAGATGTTTTTCAGAAGCCTTCTCCTGTCTCTTAATAAATTTTAATGGTTTACCTGTCTGTAATTTAATGGGAGTTTTTCCAGTGTAAAGGTCTTCCAGGTGTGCTCCTCAAGTGTACTGAGCACATCATTAATCTAAAGCATGTGCTCACTGAATTTCACCTTGAACATGAAGTAAAAATAGCTGTGTCTTTATGCTGAATAAGTTTTATGTGCTTTAGTGCCCATAAGTGATGAAGAGGAAGGAGGCATTCTCTTTGATAACGTTGCCAAATCTGCCATTGACCCCTTCGACACCTCTTCGGGATCGGTGCAGTTGATAGCAATCAAACCTGTGGCTCTACCTGCGGTTCAGGCTGCATCAGACAGGAGCCAGGAATCTGCCATCATTAATGGAGAGGTAAGGGCTGTCCAATAATGTCTCCAGCTGTTTCTTTGGCTACATCCACAGGTGAAACAATCTGAAGCCTGCTAGACTTGAGGACCAGCAGGAGGTTTTCACGCTGATGCTATATAACGTCCCATTAGCATTGCAGGCTCAGAGATCTGTGAATTTAAGATCTGCTCTTTCACAATGCACCTATGAATGCATGTAACCTTGGAAGAGGCAATTTTCTATATTCCTACCTTCCCAATATCCTTCTCTTCTATCATATTCTTTTTAACAAAATGAGTAATGAAGGCCAAGAGCAGAATAAAATCGCTGTCTTCATGAATTCTGTGGCCGAGCATGGAAATGTATATAGATCACCTGGGTGCCAAGCTGATCTTTCTATACTGAGCAATGCATCTCATTCAGAGCAAGAAGGGGTGCAGCAGGACCATGGCTTTGCTCAGCCTGCACTCCAGCCTGTGCACAGAGGGATGCACAGAGGAAACTGTTTCCGGGGAACAAAGTGGAATGGTACAAGTGTCTGATCCAGATGCTGGCCAAAAACCGTGTTTTGGTTCCAACACTGGTTGGAGTTCGATTATTTATGTTTTTATGTAGATTTACTCAAGACTGGCTAATTTACAGAGGACTGAGGCTTTGATATAGTTGTTGAACATAATGGGGACAAGCCAGAGTGGTGTCTTGTTTGTAAACTCACTGCAGCAGTGATTTAAAGATCAGCCAGAATCTGCCTGATGCTGTTTAAAAGTGAAAAGGAGGGCTTCCCATGTGGGCCTGGATTAGAGCAGTCTGTTGTGCTCCATTTCATACTTGTATTTTAAGCCCTGATGTGCCCCATGGTTCCCAAACTTGAAGAAAGTTTTGTTTAGATTTCCGCATCTATTTTCTGTAAGTCAGCAGGATGGCACATTTGGTGCTGTGTGCTCTCATGTACATACATTTGAAATTTGTGAGAAGACTCTGGAAGCACAGAGTCCAAGTAAGTGTTTTGGCTCATTTCCATGTAACTAACCATTTGAAGCAGGAGAGAAATCTTCTCAATACTTGGGAACATCATGGGACCTGACCTCTACTGGGTCAGACTAAACATCAGTTTATTTAAGGGTCTTGTCACTGACAGGGCCCCATAACAGATGTGTAAGGAAGTGTAATAATAAAAGGAACATATGACAATATTTCACAGGAATTCTTCCCCAGTCATTAGTGATGACTTACTTAGGGTTTTGTGTAGTCAAGGGTAATGTCTCTCTCTGCTTACCCTGGAAGAGTTCTGGAAGAGTTCTCATCAGTGAGTCCTCCCTGTGGTGCCCAAAAGCATGCACTGTCTTAGGTCACAACAATTGGCTAACATCATCAGTGGTTTTCTTCAGTGGGTGTATCTGAGTCACTGTTGTAATGGTACATATTTTTTAGGCTAAAATTATTTAACCATCTGCCAAGCCATAAAAATGCAGCAACTCTGTTCACTTGCAGTTCCTCACTGCTTGCAGATGGCACTGTGTGGTGCAAGATGCGCTCTGTAAAATGACACATGCAGCGCATCAAACATGCTCCGACCACGTTGTTTGGAAGTAGCCAGCCCAGCACCATCCTTTCAACATCTTTTTGCCTTTTAGGTGAACAAGGCTTTGAAGCAGAAGTCCGATATAGAACATTACCGCAACAAACTGCGCTTGAAAGCCAAGAGGAAGGGGTACTATGATTTCCCACAGGTTGATAATAACAAGGGGCTGACAGACAGAAAAAGGATGTATGAAAAAAACCAGAAAGAACTTGACCACATTTTGGATCCAGATGCAGATGTCTCGTCCCCGTTTGCTGAGCCAAAGAACAGGTGAGTCTTTTTATATGCAGTTTTTTGTCTTGGAGAAAAAGTTGGTGTCCAGAGGTTGTAGGGAATCAAAGGGGTTTTTCTTAATGAACCAACTGTTTGTTATGTGCTCAGCTGGTCCCTCCCACTTTATGAAGGAAATTCATATAACCCATGATTATTTATGAAAGTATGTCACCTGGTGAAGCTGCAATGTGTTTAAAAAGAAAGAAATGGAAAGACAAAAAAAAATAAGGCAAGGGGCTGTAGCAAGTTCTTGGGAGTCATTTTCCAAGTCAGGTACAAAGAAAAAGTGGTAGTCATGTTCTTAGAGTGAACTAAAGCGAGGAAGTTAGCACCTGAATTTGCTCTTTCCCAAAGTTCAGTGGTGCCGTTATTTTGTCATTATTTTTATCTGAATATATTACAGTAGGCATACAAGAACACAACCAGTATGTTGTCCCTGTATTTCAGTATGTCCTGCAGGGATGGTGTCTGTAAGGTTGCATTTATACCTGCAACTGGTGATCTTCCTGTGCCTTTTACGGAGAAATTCGTAAGTTGCTTATCTGTGATGTGAAACTGGCATATTGTATAACAGTGCTAATGTCTGATTAACACTTCACTGTCTTTTGAGGATGGCGCACCAGTAGCATTCATCTCCCCATTTTAGAAACGAGGGGGGAGTGCACATCCTGGTTCTGCCTGAGCTTGTGGGTGGACCTGCTCTGTTGCTGGTGTTCTCTGAAACACAAGTTGGCACATTGAAGAGGCGATCATACCAGTCCTACCCCAGGACTAGCACAGGATACAGATTCCTCTTCCTTAGGGGTGGTGGAGGTGTGAAGGATTGTAAGAGTGTTTGCCACTGAACCTCACACTATGAGGGCGCTGGTTCTTGAGGGACCAGTAGCAGCCGATCCATGAGAGAAAAAGGGATACTGAATTACATTTCCTCTGGAAATGGCCCTCATGCCTGGAGGCACATTCTTGCAACCCATCTCCTGGGCAGTTCAGGTCAAGTCTTTCCTATGAGCACAAATCATGACTGCAGTCGAAGCATTGGTGGTGACACAGTCTTTGCACACAGTGCAACTTCAGCAATTACCCTTGGGGCACAGAGATGAAGAAGACTGTAATGGGAAATATAAAAGCAGTGTTGGCTCAGAATATGGGCAAAAGCTGTGACCAGATGAACTTCAACAGGTCTAGAGTTAAATGACTGCGGGATACTGCCCTTGATGGGCCATTTCCCAGGGTTTTGCTGGTCAATGAAGAAAAAAGATGCTGGCTTAACTGTATGTTATGTTCTTGCTGGAGGGTCTGGGGCATCATTTCCTTGTGCAGTTTTCCAGTGTGGGGTGAATAAACTGCTCCAAATACACTGAAAAGGTAAAACACTGATCCCACAGAAGTCCTGCTCTCTCTGCATGGTCTGTCCAGAAGGTAAAGATGGAACAGTAGAAACATTGGTATGATCATGTGCTGCACACATAGTGAAGGACTTATGTTACTTTGGATGTTTATTATGCATCACATGCCATGTAGGAAATGTTTAAAACATGACACATGAAGCTTTAATGCTAGCCATCTGCTTTTTGTTCAGTATACTGATGTTTGTTTGTTCATGTGCCAATGTACTGAAAGGTCCGGGAATACATTTTTTCTGCGTGCTTTCCAATGTGTTGTGTAAATCTGTCATAGACTATTTGAGATAGCGATCACTGGCACGATATAAACTGCTTGAAGGCAGGTATACTGCTTTAGAGGAATGATTGCATCGTGTAGCTGAACCATAAAAGACTGACTGCCAGATTTACTTGTTAAATACACAGTCTCTGTCCCTGCATAGGAAGAGAGAAGAATAATTTCTGATGCTTTGTGTGAAGACACAAAGCATTTAATGAACTTCACAGATGTTGCAGATGTTTGCAAACAAATCAGTCCCAAAGTCTAGCTAAAATTTCTATACTAAGACTTGGAACTGAACTTGATATGGTGTAACACACATAACAGCATTATTGTCTTCATTTTTCTAACTAGAAACAAGATGGCTAAACCAGCACACTGCTGGAGGAAAACCTTGAATAATACTACAAGGCAAAGTGGGTTTATGAATCAATACAATTGTATTCCTGTAATGAAATAAAATTGCTTTTAAAACGATCTAGGCTAGCATAAAATTAAAAAGATTTGATTTCTGACTTTTTCTGCATTGAATCATTGTTTATATCATTACAGCTACAGCAATTAAAACCTGGAAAAATAGGGGTTTTTTTTCTTTTTTCTTTTTTTTTTCCTTTTAATAATAGCACTTAGGAGTGCTATTATTTTATTAAGTAAAAGATTTCTTGGTTTCTAGAGAGAAGGTCTGTTATACTCCTTTGTGTTTTGCATGTATTCCACTAACTTAAATCACATTACTACAGCATTTCCAGAACACATCAGAAGATAAAGGTGCAGTTGATTACATTACTCAAGATCACCTTTACAGTTTGGATTTGTTTTAGATTGTATTTAAAAGTGATTTTCAAGACATTGCTACTAAATAATTTGATTGGTTCAAGAACAAACAGCTTTGTGTGCTCCTGGTACCTCGGGAGTCTTCTGTACCAAAAAATTTCTGTTTTAAAACATTCTGGTTGTTCCCAAAAGGCACTTGCTAACCCTTTTTGAATGCCAGTTGTTAGCGTTCATACCTCCTTTCCCATTCATAAAACCCTCTTAAATGAGCTAATTGGCAATCTCAAGGCAATTTTTAAGAGCCTTCTGATGATATGAACTATTCTGGGATTTTCTTTAATAGTTTTAAATCAGACCAAGAATCTGCGTGTATTAGAGAGCTGTATACTTGAATCCCTTAAAAAATATATCACAACTGCATCAACTAAGTATTTATGGACCTATTGTAAAACATGTACGAAATTCTAGAGACCCTTAATGTAGGAACATAAAGGTTGTCAGACCTGACTGACCACATAGTCTTGAAAGAAACAAGATAAGGCACTTTATTCAATAATATTTTTATAGGTGAAATTTATTCCAAAGCCTCTGCTTGCCTTCTGCTTTGGCAGTGCATTTGGGACTTTCAAACGTGTGCGTAAAGATCTGTGATTAAAAGTCACACAGAAGTTTTTGAAAGTTGCCTTAAAATTAAGTATGTGTCTGAATACTTAGTTTAATCAGAAGTGTAAAACTGGTATTTTTTTGTCCTGTGTTTTATCCAGTCTGGTCATGTAGAGGTCTGTCTTTCTGCATTTCTGCAAACCCGTTTCTGCTGCTCTAATCTGTCAAGGCAAAAAATTCTGTTAAGCATATCTCTAATATCTGAAGAATCATCACTTACCAGTGAATTAATTCGGACTGTATTGTCGTTTCATTTCACTGATGGTTCTTAAGATGTTAAACCATGAAGTCTTCACAATTGCTCAATGGAACAGGCTACTTAATGTGATTTCCTCTTATGTCACTTACAGAAGTTTTGCTAGGCTTTCCAATAGCTGAAATACTGTAGTAGATCTCTCTGTAATTATTCAGGCAGTCCCAAACATTTCAAACTCCGAAGACCTTATTTTTACACCACTTATTAACTCAGAGCTCTCAGCCACAGGCTCATCTCACTTAATGCAAGCATTTTTTGCCCTTCAATCAAATCTTAGCATGAGATTGCATTTTCTGTCAAGTTACCTGGCAAGCATAGGAGAATGTTGGAAAAGTTACCTGAGCCTCCTACCTTCAATAGCCCCTTTCAACTCTTTTGTGATTCCCACAGATTTATCAGTTATGACTGAGGCTGTTATGCTGTGCCTTTGAAAACCTCCCTTGCTGTAGCCTCAAAATCATGCCACCACTGTGTTGAACCCACTACCACGGCAGCAGTCTTTTGCTAAAGTTCTATTCAGCGGCAAAAATACTTGTAATATTTTTGACTTTTCTAATGTAAAAGTGTACCTGGATGAATGTGCTGCACTAAGAATGTTTTTACTTCTCATGAATAACTGCCTAAAATAATGTTGACACACACCAACACCACCACTTCTTGTTACTACAACACCGCTACTTGAGTAGTACCAGCTACCCAAGACAACCTTGAGAAAATAAGGAATAAGTGTATGTTTCCAGTCAGTCTATGAGGGTTAGTTAAGAATTGCTGGCTTCAAGTGCCAGAGGAAGAGACAATATATCCCAGCATGTATCTACTTTTAATATTTTGAAAAGAATAACTATACAGAGCAGAAAAATAGTATAACTAGGCAAAGATAACTTTATATAACAACACTGTGATTGCTGTGTTAATAAATGAAGCTGTCATGCCATTATTTGATCTGTTACTGACCTACAAGGGGAGGATGAGCGCTTCGCTGGGGTATGCAAGAAAATGACTAATGATCAGATACACTATAAGAACAACATCACCTAAACTTTTCTAGTTTAGATGAAGCCTTCTTAAAAGATGCAGCTTGATGAAGAATCAAGTTCCCATATCATGATTTGGCAAATGCTCCTGAAGCGTTTATGCAGGGATATGTATCTTACAGAGGAAAGCTATATTTGGTTTTGTAGAACCAACAAGGGAAGAAATGGTTGCACTGGAAAGATTACAGTCTATTTTGGGTATTGAGCTATTGGCTGTTTTTCTATTACATTTGCTTCCCCTTGCTTCTAAGCATACAGTGGTGAAGGCTCAACACCCGGGGATGCCTTTGCCCCAGTGCTCCCCAGCTGGAAGCAGTTTAATCCCAGGGAGCACAGTTCTCTGAAAAAGCTGTGGCCAGTAACCAAACTGGCTACTTAAAACAGCATCTTGCAAGCAGTTCCCTCCCACTCCTGCCTCTTCCTGTTCACTTTGCTGGACATTTGTTTCAGTGGAGAGTTATTCTGCTCCTTTCTCGGTGCTCAGGATCAGCAACCAAAATCCCTGCTCCTCAGCTGAGTGTGTGGAAGGTCCTATGATTTGTTTTTATAATAGCACCTATTTATTTTTTATGAATTTGAATCATATCACCTGAGATCAAAATGGTTCTGATATCTTCCTGGGACATACTTAATCTGAAAAGCTTCCGCATATGATGTCCATGTCTTTTATGTGTCTTTATTTTTTTTAAAGAGTAAACAAAATTAATGATCTCTTGAATAATGTTACTGATTTTTATCACTTACATATACATAGATAGAATAGCCTATGATTAAGTGGCACTATTATAAACCCCATCATATTAGAATAAAGGTAAGTATTGAAAACTGCTGCCCATTTCTTTTTTGTTTTCTTTCAATTTTACTGTTTTCTTGGTTTCTTTTTTGTTTTCTTTTAATTTTGCTGTTTTCTTGTTTCACATTTTCTAGGCAACCACTGAAGAACTCTGTATACAGAAGCAGGCAGTCTTTGAACAGTCCTAGCCCAGGAGAAACTGAGATGGATCTTCTTGTGACTCGAGAAAGACCTAGGCGGGGAATCCGTAACAGCGGATATGACGTGAGTTTATCAGATATATGTAATGAAATTTTCTCAGCAAGGTCTTAACTTACTCCTAAACCCAGGAAACTATTGGTAAGCTACAAGCCAGAGTGGCACTGGGTATTTAACATTACAGTACTTCGTGTGCACTCAACATCCTGAAAAAAGCTCAGGATACTCAGAGCACAGACTCTCTCATGTATGTTACAGCTGTACATTATTTTCAGTCTGAAATGCAAACAAAACATTTGCCCCGAAACTCCTTATTTGCCAAAGTATTGAATTTTGAATTTATATAGTTCTTTTAAGTGTACAGTCACTGACATGATACTGGGCTTGGTGTTTTTTCATGGCAACTAAAATCTTCTGTTTGTTCTGCAGCCCTGGTGCTGCTCTCTTGAATCAGAAGAACGAACAACCAGCTTCTGGGAATTTTACTGAAATCCAGATGTCAGTGTTTTGTGGAAATCCCCTAGGAACAGATGTTGTCCTCTTACTGTGTCAGAACGGGGAAAGTTTTGCATAGATAAATGTCAATACCAGCCAGAGGAGATGCTGGTTTATGGCCCAAGGGTCTCATGCAGCCAACACAAAGCAGACAAGTTGTCTGGTGCAGTCTCAACACACACTGGGTGCAGGCTGACACTGTGTGCATCCAGAATGAGGATAAAAATAGCCCCCACACTGGGGTAATGTAGAATTTTTCAGTCCTTTGTCACGTAAATAAAATGCTGCAGCTCAGCAATCCCTGAAGATCGGTCCCTAGAAAAGGTCGAATCATTCTGGAAAATAAGGAAGTTCATCCTCTCAACTCTGTGGAGGAACGAGCACTTTGTCAACTCTCTCAGCTGCCAGGGATGCATTTTTAGCAAGGTGAAGGAATGTACCAAGGTCTGGGGATTTGCCAAAGGAAGTTTAAATCCTTTACAGAATTCTTCAGGGCATGTTGTTGATGTCATATTTCTTAAATGATTTCCTGCATGGGGATGCTTTCCATCAGATTGTATGAGTCCTGTTGTGCCGTGTGAGTGAGATAACTGGTGCACTGCTTTGAGGCACCAGAATACATCACCGTAGCCTGGAAAAAGAAAGGCATAACCTGTTGAAATAGGTTTTACATTTTGCAAAAAGAAGATTTCCTCCCAATATTTCCTTTATTTTTCAAACGTTCTTAGATAAAAACACTGTCAAGCCAGCCTTCCTTCAGTATCCTGAAAATCATGTTTCAAGAAAGCAAGGGAATTTTTTAATACACTAATAAAAGCTGTTTTTTCACAGGTGATATTTTCCTGAAATTAAAGTTGAAAACATTCAGGGAGCAGGCATGGCCTCCTGTTATTAGTTCAAAATTAATATGCTATAAATAGTTAGCAGAAGGTTTTTAAAATGTAAGTCAGTATATTATATATACTCTCTAGAAAGTATATTTTAAGGAAAATTTGTTTAAATCCTTGAAAGCAGATTAATGAGTTTATGCAGATTCTGAAATATTCTAAAAGTCGTGATAAACTCTAAGCTCTGTGCACACCACACACGAGTTTGCTTTCGCCGTTCTTCCGTTGCTGCAGCCGGGTGAGCTGTCCATGGCACAGTGTTTTTACTGGTCACTCACATGAAATTCCATTTCCCTGGTGTGCTGCAGTTTCACTGCAGTGCACCTCTTCTAATTCTGAATGTATTTCTCACCTGAAAGTGGAAAAATTCCCGGGGGAAATGGGAGAGGATGTTGAAATTTAGTTCCCAAGCCTCCACTTGCAGCGTGGGCTCGTTTCCCTAACTCCTGTCTGAGGCTCCTCAAGCTGTGCCTAGTGCCTGACAGGCTTAGACTCCTTGATACCCACAGGCAGGCTCCTATCCATATTCATGCACGGAATTCATACGGATCTCACCAGTTATGCAGCTAAACACCTCTGGAAATCTGACCTCTGAAAATGGGTGGGAAAGGGCTCTGAAAAAGTGCTGGATTTTATTCTGAGTCTTCTATCCTTTCCTTTTCGTCTGGTAACATCTGGTATTGTTTTCTGACATCTACTTTGTTGTCCCAAAGATTCCAGACCACTCAGGCTCTTGCTAACCTTTTCCTCCCAGTATGTTACTTAGCAGCAAGTCCTGCCAAAGAACAGCAATACTTATTTTAGAAGCAGTTCCAAATAATTAAATTCATGAACCAAGTAATGAGAATTTTTTACAGATTAACAAATTATTGGGGTTCTCATTTGCTTGTTGTTTCATTGTTGTTGAGTTTGGGGTTTTTTGTTTGGGGTTTTTTTTTGGCGCGGGGGGAGGTGTTGGCGGTTTTTTTGGCTGTTACCAGCATGCCCAGGTTACGTGTTGAGGTTTATCTTCCCAACAATGAAAAATGGTTTATTTTATTTTAAGGAGACTAAGATCCCTCAGATCCTTTAAGAAAACTCCTGAAGAACTGCTAGACTCGTGTGCACAACCAAATCACAAGAGTCTATGATCTGCATGATTTTACTTTGCTTTTTAAATAGGAGAGGGAAGTGAGAGCTCAGAAATCTGCCATTCCACACTACTGATTTTTTATTAATGTATTTTTGGTTCCCATCACATAAACAATTTCTAGCACTTCAATTATGGTTTTCTGATACTATTTCATTCCATATAATGATTTTTTGTGCTATTTCTCTGAATCATAGTTCTGTTTCTAGAGCTAAAAAACAGACAGGCCAATAGTTACATACTGTTTGTTCTGAGTATATTATTTGCCTTTAAAGCACCCTTATAAATAGTTTATTATTGAACAATATGTATCTTTCCATTTTAAATAATCCCAACAGGGTTTACTATCATCATCTTCACCTAGAAAGCAGATTAAGGAGACTTTATCAACATGTTTATGACTTCCAACATGTTCACAGACCATTGTGAGTAGACCATGTGCTACAAAGAAAAGATCTAGAACCTCTAGACTGCTAATGAGCTTTGTACTACGGCAGAAAATATGTAGGCTGGTTTTCGTGTCAAAGGAAGAAAATGGCCTCATAATATGTACCTCGGATCAATCTGCAGAAGAATTTACAGGCATAATTTTATTGGCATAGTTAAATTAATGAAACTCCTCAAAAAATTCAATGGATTAATGTCCACATGAAGAATTCTACTGACACAGTTGCAGCAGCAGAGTTATGCCAGAAGTGTATAAAGTCTGTCTCTGTACAGGATTATTGCTTCCTTCTTCATGTAATTCCAATCGCTTGTTTTATACAGTAACTGTGTATGAACAATATCTGAATTTTTGTAATGGTAATGTTAATGTACAATGACATCTATTTATGATACTTACATGTTTCAACTGATAGGAAAGCAAATGACATACATCAGAAAGTGACAGGATGAACTGAAATAAATTTTAAAACTTGAGGAAAAGTAATGATCACCTGTCTCCTCCAAAATCTTCATGACAACTTTGATATGGATAAATCAAAGTTGACTTAATGTTGACTGCTAATATGCATTCTTTATTCATAAGAGATATTTTAGACACTCTGTAGAAGCCTAACAGCTTCACCAAGGGGTTGTAGTAGAGAACCTAATTTATTTCAGCATTGGACACTAACAGGTCTCTTGTGGGATTCCATTTACTGACATTTTTATAGATATGATGGAATAGAAGAACCATGGTTATTAATCATCCAGTAGGGACAATATGATGTCAGAGACTCTTGGTTGCACTCATAGAAACTACTATTGCATTTTATAGCCAGGCTTCTAAAACTTACCTGATTTTGATTTACTGTAACAACACAAATAACAATGGAATTAAAACGCAGGCAGAAAATTCAGGGAAACTATTTAGTTGAAGATTTCCTACAAAGTTTTTCAGTTTAAGATAACTTGTTGCCATTACATTGTTCCTCCCCCAGTATTAGTGTGTACCACTTAGGAAACCTGGAGTTGGGTTTGTGGTTTTGAATTTGTATAATATACTATATAACTATAATCATATAGATGATGGTTGAATTCTAATATGCAAATGATTAATTATTGTCATAGTTTTCCTTTCTTACTGCTATATTTTCATTAAGTACAAAATATAACTACGCTTGTAACAGCTAAGATACTTTGTTTAAATTGTCAGGTTCTAGGCTAACATGTAACTCTTTGAATGGCTGATAACAGAAGAAGAAAGTCAGTTTGATATTTTCCACTGCAAATGAAGAAATACGTACTATGACTGTCCTATAGTACATACGACCATACATAACTTGCAAAAAGTTGGGGGCCCAGTTTCTTATCTAGTCAAGTGCAGAAAAGCACTATTACATGGGGAAAAAAAGTATGCCACACTAGGAGCTACAGAGTGGTCAAATACATTGTTAGGATAGTGCTGGAATTTTTAATAAGAATATCCTGTTGTATTCATTTATTTGTGGCTATTTAAAACGCTAACACAATTCTAACCACACACTATACAGGAGGCACATATCCTGTTCTTCATGCCAGTTATCCTGGCATCTTAAATGCATTTTACTGATATTTAAAGAATTAGAAAGAATTGGTTGTTTTTTCAGGTTGCCTGTTTCAAATGTGTTTTTTAAAACTACAGGCTGTAAAATCAGTCTTACAGAATATAGATTAAGTTAGGTATTTATTGTCAAGTTCTTACAATATGATGTTTGTTTCTGTCTTGGAGTTACAGGAAAAAAAATCCAGGGGGTGATTTCTGTTTGTGTTTATCTGTACAGAGTGACCGTTACAGTTAAGCTGCCCGAGTACTACCTGAACATTAAGAGTTCGTGCTTCATTCATTGTTCCTACATTAGGTTTAGATCGACTTCTGTGCAGTTACTGTTTGGTGGCTAGGTAAGATGACCAAGCTGGGTCAGCATTCTGCAGGGGACAGGATCTAGTTCATGGCATCATTGTTAGTGGTCCTCGCTCGGTTATAAAGTTCAGGAAAACTCCAAAACTTTCATTCTCCTGAAATCTTACTGTGTGGGAATGGAAATAGAGTTTCAGTCTCTGTAGCTGCAACAAGTGGTCCCTTGTAAGGGGTCCTTCGTAGTGATGGTACTGTTTAGCGAGCCACGCTCCTCCTGGTACAGTTGTACTCCCATTGATACTATCAACTAAGAAAAGAATGTAAACATTAATGCTAATTGTTTTTAAGTGAATCATTGACGATTTCATCTGCTACAGAGTGTCCCTGATAGTTTTTGCAGCAAACAATGCAGGCTAGAAAAGGCAATTATACTCGCCTGCAGTGTGTAACTCCTTTGCAGTATTTGTCATGTGTCTACATTGTCATAGCTCCTGACTTTGTATACGTTACATCTGTGCTTGAGAATGTTTTGTGTGGAGCAGCACAATTACTGTCCTGTAAAGCTTTTCACGTATACGTGCTTTTATTCCATCCAACAGACCGAGCCTGAAATTATAGAAGAAACTAATGTCGACCGTGTCAACGAGCCTCGGGGCTATGCCAGGTCCCGTCAGGCCAAGGGCCACTCGGAGACCTCGACTTTAAGTTCTCAGCCCTCCATCGATGAGGTTCGGCAGCAGATGCACATGCTCCTGGAAGAGGCTTTCAGTCTGGCCTCTGCAGGCCATGGAGGACAGAGCAGGCAGGAGGCTTACAGCTCCACACCGCACTTGCCCTACTCCGAGGTTGTGACCAGTGCGCCTGGTACCATGACCCGGCCTAGAGCAGGGGTACAGTGGGTACCCACATACAGACCAGAAGTGTATCAGTACAGTTTACCAAGACCAGTAAGTGAAACTTCTCTTTAGTATACTGTAATACGCTGCTCTGAGACACATTTTTAAAAGAAGTAGCCCTGTTTCCATGCTTGAAATCAGATGTAAAGCCACGCTTATGTTAAATAAGTATGGGTAGAGGGGTGTGTATGTGTATTTTTACCCATACCTGTCTCTTGCAGGAAGACCCTATCTATTTTAGTAGCAAGGTTGTCCTGTCTAAGCTGTGCTTGAAAGAACAGCCTGCACTAAGCTCCAGGCTGTTCAGCAGATCAAAAACTTGCCTGCATGTCTCCTCCTCTTACATGAATGTATATTAGGAAGCAGTCTGGTTTTGTAGAAAAACTGTGTAGACACACAAGACCCAATGCTTCTGCACGAGGTCCGTCACTGAAGAGCAAGAGAATGAACCAAGTGCACTAATCGGAGCGACCTGAAATGCGGGCTGTTACTGTCAATCTTGCAGTTATAGCTATTGGGACTCTAAAGTTGGTTTAATTCCACACGTGTCTTGGTTGACTTTACGTAAATCACTCTTTAGCCTTCATTTTCTAGCCTCCAGTTGTGGTTCACATGTCCTCACCTCACAGAAGTAATAAAGGAATTAAGAACTTAAATCCATGGGTGCAAATTGTTAAAGGAATTTTGTAGGTATCAAGACAGCAGTCACAGTAGCATTATGCACACACACGCTTGGCATGGGAAACTACCTCTAAATTCTCACATAGAGTATTGTGAAACTCAAGAACATATTTTCCTTCTTATATGTCAGGTACAAATCTGAACCAGAGATGGTTGCTTTCACATGAGAAATAGCCCATATATAAAAATCAGTGTGAAAAACTGCCCATTTTAAGCCATTTTTTTGGTCGGAAATGAGTATTTTTTTAAAGAATGCATTTCAGACTGAGTCCTTTGCTAATGCAGAAAAATGTCCTCAGTTCGAAATAACTCTGACTTCCTCCCATGACCATAAACCACCCCCCCCAACATTAAAGGATGCTGTTTCTGTACTATTTTGAACATATTTGAAAGCCAATGGCACTGCCTGCAAAGGTTCAGGCTGGTGCTGAAATCTTGCTAGAGGTTACTTCTGGCACTTTGAAATTGGTCTGATGAACTTCATAGAGCATATAATCATGTTTTATGGTTAGAATTCAATTACAACCTTAAAAGACGGCTAATGGGGAATCAAATTACTTTGGCACTTCAGAGAATCTTTCTATAATGAAATAAGGAATATTATATGGCAAAAAGTTGTTGGGTTTTTTTTCTTTCTATGTGGTAGCCATACTTTTTTGGTGGATGCTTCACTGTTTGCTTTCTAAGACTTCAGATACAAATGATTACTCTTCTAAATCATCTCTGTGTTTAGCACCTTTAAGCATTTCCTTATCTTTCTGGTATTTCGAAGATAGTGTTAAAAAATCCCCTGCAGATAGTCGATGGCCACAGATGTGGATAGGCATGAGCTGCTGGAATTTGGATAAAGGCTGTTAATTCATAGCGTGCTGTGTATCAGTTTCACAAATACAAGCTGTACTTTAACCACGCCATGTACTGGCTTGTTCTCAGATGGGGACAGAGGGTTGAAATTGAAAATACCCAGCTGAGATGTGTGTGGGAAGTGACCTGTGGGTAGGAAAAACATGGAAGAACTGCCACTGTCTGCATGTGAGCAGCCATTTGCCTGCCTGGCACATCTCCGCTGAGCAGCCCTGGGGAAGGTGCTGCCACGGGCAGCGCTGGAGGTGAGGTGGCTGGCACATAGGGAAGGTGTCAGCTTGGTGAGCTGCGGCATGAGCAACACCCTCCAGCACCTTTGGGAACGAGAGGTACTTGAGCACTGGCGTGTTGTTACATGGGGCAGGATGCTACCTCTGCAAACCAAGAGTTGTTTATTTTTGCCCTTTCTTAAAAGTCAGTTCCAGTCTGGAGCCTGGTACCTGTGTAGTCTGTCCTGAATCTCATCTGTGATTACTTCTGACAGTGACTGTTAAATTGTCTGTATTATATAAGTCCTTATTTTCCAACAAAACAGAGTTTGGAATCAATGCAGGATGTTTCCCTTTTTCATCTTTGTTTGTTTGGTTTGATTTGTTTGTTTGGTTTCGTTGTTGGTGGTTGGTTGTGTTTTGTGGGTTTGTGAAAAACAAGCAATGAACTTTTTTTAAAGGATAAACTCATTTTAAAGAATAAAATTAGGCAAATTTTCTGTGAAATCAGCTGGGGTTTTGTTTTGTTTCGTTGTTTGGTTTGGTTTTGGTGTTGGTTTTTTTTCTTTTTTCCTGGTTGGATTTACAACAGTGTACAAATTCCAGTGAAGTGACTTTCTTTCTATAATCACAGCAGTTAGCCTAGAACCTAATTGCTCATCCCAATCTGTAACAGGCGCCTGTAGTAAATCTTTGGTTTAATTTAGCCTCTCAACACTTTTTTCCACTGATGTGTTGCATTCAGGAAAGCACCAATGCCCCAGTTCTTGGAGAAATTCTAGCAATGTTATTGGAGATGCTCTCGTATCCATTTTGGTGTCTATGGAAGGTCAGCACAAAGAGGGCTGGCTGGCTGCTGTGCCCCTGGATGGACTGTTCCTTGGCATGGTGTAGCAGATCTCCTAATAGGAATTTTCCCCTTAACAGGATTCCATCTGCCCATGCATAGGCTTATGCATGCTCATGCAGCCATCAGCAGAATATTGCCTCTCACTCAGAATTGTTCATCTCCCATGTATACAGTAAAATGAGTGCTTTGATTTTCTTTTCTCCCCCCAAATTTTCAGTGCAAGTCATAGCACGTTTGTGAACTGTTCTCTGCAATATCTTAAAATGTCTCTGATACCCATTTGCCAAAGCACATCCACTGACACACTAGAGAACCCCCAAATCTACCTCTGCGTCTTTACCCACCCTGTTATACTCAGTCACATTAGCTCATGTGCTGTTCCTTTCAATCGCGACTAGGGGGGAATTAATTTCGTACTTACTTTCATATTCTCAAATGCATGCCAAGAGCAAGATGTGGGATGAAAGGCTTGTGGAGCCAGAGGAAGTGTTTGTTTCGGCCTGCAAGAGCACTGCCAGCTTCGCAGATGCAGAAGAGGCACTGTGGACCATTTCAAGTCCGGCACTGTTAGGAGAAATCTAATTGAGGTTTTCTTTGATGCAAATTCAGTATTTCTTTTTTCTCTACAATTCTTTCATTAAAAATCAGTATTTCCAACCACTGGCTCGGAAATGTACCATTGCCTTATTTTACTCTTTTTTCCCCACCTAAGTATAGAAATACTTTAAATACCATTGTAACATGCTGAAAGTAAATACTAGGAGACTTTTTCTGTGGCATGAAAGGAAAAATTGCATGCCTTCATAGACATGCCTTTGAGTGACTCTGCCCTGCTATCATAGGGGTGCAATGAGAGGCAGGAGAAAGACGCTTTTCAGTATTGCTTTTCCCTTAGAGATACTGACATCAAAAGTCAGTATTTGGTAAGTTACTCTTCCTGTGTGTTAACCCAGTTTTGCAGCATTTTGAGAAGGAAGTTACTGGAACTCTGTCTAAATGTGTAATTTTTAAATATGAGTACTGAGAGTGGTTTTTGATATTTAGTGTGGGACTTATATTGCCAAATTCAAACCTAAATGTAGGTGTTGAGTCTGAGCTAATCATGTAAATGCTGCAGGCTCTTTCTACAGGCAGGAGCTAGTGACTCATGGCATGGAAATGTGTTTCTAGCTGTCTCTGCTCTTCCTGGAGGGAGCTTTACCGGCTAAACCACATACATACCTCTTCTTTAGAGGTCTAAACAACCACCATTAGACTTTGGAGTCCAGTTTTTGTCTTGATGTCTTGATACTGGACAGCCCCCCCATCATTTGTTATTTGCTATTGCTCTGACCTCTAATCTATAGCAGTACAAAGAATCTAGAAGATAAAATGTTGTCCTACATCTTATTTCTTGGGTGCTGTGTGTTTCTTGCACACGATTACTCATCCTTCACATGTATTAGTGATAAAATCCAGAATTACCGTGGGCAAGATGCTTAATGTTGTGACTTAGTGGGTTGGCCCTGTGTTCCTCTGAATCGCTCTACTTTTCCAGAACTGTTTGAAACCGTTGTTATTGCTTTAGAATGTTACAAAGCTTGGTTGTTTTTTGTTTGGGGTTTTTGTTTGTTTGTTTTTTTATTGTGAAGAATTTTCATCTCTTGAAGGCTGAAAGGAAGAGGTTGGAATATGCATTGCTCACAGGCAGCTTTACTTCATTTGTGCTGCTCTGAGGATGCTTTCTGAATCTCTAAACCACTTTTTTTCTGGAGGAAGTGAAAATACATAATAATAACAGATCTGTTTTGCCAGCAAGGTCACAGAGACAGTGTTTAATATGCTTTATTTTAATTAGACTTCATCTGGGCTCTGAACTCATTTGTTCACATTTTCTCCCACATCCTAAAATCACCCAAGCACTGTAAATTCGAAAATAAAATGCACTTACTGTTGATGCCACAAAAAGTTAGCTTCCTGTTGGCTGGCACGTGAAGCAAGCACTTAACTTCTGACTTGCTTTTGGTTTTTAATTTGACTGAGACACACGGGTGTTTCAGGAAATATTTATTTCTCTCCTCTACAGGCTTACAGATTTTCTCAGCTTCCTGAGATGGTGATGGGTTCTCCTCCACCACCTGTCCCTCCCAGAACAGGTCCTGTGGCTGTTGCATCTCTCAGGAGGTATTTATCTGTTGTTTTATTTTGGGTATGAGCTCTAAACCCCACTGTTTGTAACACAAACTGGGGCAAACCCTGAAGGAGCACTTACAAGCCACATAAAAAGGCACATTAACGAAATTCGAAACATGTTGATTTTGTTTCACTTCAATATGAAGAGGAAAGGAAGAACAATGAAATTTGTCTCCTAATAGCTAATCAGTTGCAATAAAATTAGGAAATCCAATCTCCAATTTCTTTTAAAACATGCTTTTCCTCAATCCACATAATGGTGCAGTGTATTGCAGGCATGGGGTAGATAACTCACGCTGTCATTTTCCCTGCTTGTCTCTATTGTAAGGAGATAGCACAACAGGATATGGAGGAATTGTGAGATGTTTCTCAGCACCCTGGATCCAGGGATTTCTGCCTAGCTTTCAGATACCTCATACCTGCGTTTCTGAAGCCAAATCCATGCAAAAGCCTGATTGCCTTAGCTCAGTTCATACATTCTGCCTCTTCCTCACACCAAGGCACTCTATAAAATGCTTTTCAAGGAATTTTCCCAGTTCTGTAGTGGATTCACTCATTTCGTCCCCAGCCCTGTGCTGTTACGTGCTGCCTGATGCCAGCTGCAGCTGGAGGCACTGCAGGCCTGCTGGGCATTGCTGTGGAGCACTGAGGCCAGAGGAGACTTTCCTGACTGGCTGCTAATGACACTGGAACTCCATGCAAACATTCAGGACATGGACACTGTCTGCTGACATACTCTTGTTCACCCATTACATGTTTTAGTTGTGAAGCAACTGGGATGCACCATTTCAAAAGATGTTAGTATTTCCCAAGTGCAGTTAACATGACTTACCATAGTAGTCTCCGACCATACGATACCATGTCATATATACTTGTAGTAATATGGCAGTGTCTGCAGTCTGGTGTGGATAAACTATGGTGAAGCTTTGTCACAGGCATCTGAAGCAGCAAAGGCTCTATGAGATGGCAGTAACATGTTTTGGCAAAGCAGTGACCCAGCTAAAGAAGTTGCTCTCAGACTTCTCCAGAAGTACTGTTCTCCAGTTGTTCTTTAAACTTCTGTCATGCCAGAGCAAAACCAGATAGCTCATTCCTAGCTGGCTTGTCACCATCTGTAGCTGATAGGCCTGTATGTGGCTATGAATCTCACGTGTCAGTCACAATGGCAAAAGTTTCTGTTTTTTTCTTTCTTAACGCACAGGTCTACATCCGATATTGGCAGCAAAGTGAGAATACCTGAGTCCAGTGGGGCAGATCAGGCCCAGCATCACGATCAGGCATCTTTCGCACCGGGTTCAAGAGCTCCGATGTCTGTTGGTCCACTTGATCAGGCAGCTTTTCACTCAGGTGAAAAAATAATGCAGACATACAACTTGCAGCTTTGAGAGCCTTATAATTTGGTTTGCATATAAATGAATGTATGGGATATAGCAAATATAGATGATTAATTGGAGAAAAACTGTATTAGGTGATTTAATATCGTAAGTTTAAGCTAATACACTCTTTTGATGGTATCTGGATGACAGCTGGGGAAATACTTAAAATAGCTTTTCACTGGTGGAATGTTTTCTTGAAGAGCTATAGAGAAGAACTTACAAGATTAAAAAAAAGTGACTCTTGTTGGTTCAAAGTCTTTAGTAGGTTTATTAGACATGGCTCTTTTAATCTGCTAGGAAAAAAAAAATCTTTCTTAGCTTTCTCAGAAGTAATAGAGAATTACCTGCGTTGTATTCAACATCTTCTACTGGGAATAATAATGTGGATATGCAAATCTGTTGTCAATTAATTAAATACAGCAGGTTTGAAGGAGCTGTTCTGCCTTCACTTATTGCCTTACCTTCTGCAAATGGTGCGTGTGAATCTGAAAAGAGCAGATGCTCACCCTTTCCTTTTAAAGCATTTCTAGCTACAAAATATACTAACTACCAAAGCTTGCTCTTCATGTCTCAAGTAATGTACTCTGTGATGAATTTTTTATTGTTTCCAGTGGTGTGGAGATTTTATTGCTATATGTTAAAAGCAGGTATGTTGTGCTACCACTGCAGAGTGGCTCCATTTCAGAGGAGACGAAGCGACCTTTGTGTACATTGTGGAGTTTGCCAGAATAATCCTGGGGGTAGTTGGAGGAAAAATTCCTATATTTGATAGATGCTATGTGCTGCGAAAGGCTGCAGTATAGGGACAGAAAAGGAGAGTTGTGAGGAAACTGTAACACGTGTGTTTCTAATGTTCTGGTAGGAAAACAAATTTGTATTGCCTCAATACATGAGGAAACATTGCTGCAGGTGCTGATTTGGCATGAAACAGCCTCATGTCACTTTCATGCAGCCCATCAGCATCAGCTCTATGATAATGACGTTGCAATAAGAATTTGGGATAAGGTGTTACATCAGCTAATTGAATGTTCATTTTCAATAGTAGCTTATTTTGCTGTGGTGTAGAAGCTGTGTGACATCTACAGGAGCAGCACTTTCTTCTCTGTACATGTCTGAAGAATACGTATTTCTAGCCTTGCTAACTCATTTAAATTAGCAACCCTTGTGCTGTTTATGGCCTGGGAAGAACCAGGATTGCCCACACCTTTTCTCTTAGGCCATCTCCTTCCAAGCCAGGGGGCCGAAGGAAATCGGTCTAGAGGTCCTGTGAGATACCCCATGGCTACGTGTCATGCAGGCATACATCACGGATCCCATCCCTCCATAGCAACCGGATGGTGGCTGCTTCTCGGAGGGCTCAGTGACTCCAGCATTCTTCTGACACAGGGGAAAAGGCACTACAACCCAGTGTCAGAACGAAAGCTAGGACTTAGGCCCTGGCAGTAGAAAACACTGTGTAAACTTAAAGCATAACATACAAGTTTTCAGTCTGTATTTTAGACGAAAACATCCCTCGTGGTTTCTTCCCATTTTTTCTGATTTTTTTTTTTGTTTGTTTATTTTGGGGTTTTTTTGGGGTTTTTTTTCTGTTTTTTTGAGGCAGTGTTAAAACAGATGATATGCTTCTGCTCTGGAGGCACTTGTTCTGTGATAAAACTGAACTGGTGTCAACGAGTCTCCTTAAAAATGTTTAAGTCATAGCTGCATAATTTATTGCAGTTGTAGACTGCTCCTAGGAAAGGAATTGAGCAGGTACAGCCTCCGTACTTTTTATTGAAGCATTGAAGTTTTATGAGGGGGTTGTTGAGATTACAACCTTTTAAATGTATCACTCATTTTTATAGATTTTGTGCCTAGAGATATTAAGGCAGTTTAATTCTGAAGACAGACTATGTAAACTGTGAAAAGAAAGGTGCATTACTCTGAAATCCATGGTAACAACAGCTAAAAGTTGAATACAAGGAAGCAAACGTAAGGGGGAAAACCTACCCTTTTTTCTAATGGTTCAAAGTTTTGATGAAGATCAGCTGTTACAAGGATCAAGTCCTAAGGACTAAGTCCTCATTTCTTTATCTGAAGGCTCTGCATGATTTAGACAACTGCAAATCTTGCCTTCTCCAGTATTTCCCAGCATGATAGAAGTGTTATAGTCAAATGGTGATTGCCTTAAATCCAGCCGATGGTGGTCACATTCTCACAACCACAAATTAGTTACTTCATAAGCACTATCTTCTAATTTAAAACTGAAAATGGCAGCTATTAATTATATCTACTCTCTTTCTTAATAGGAAATACCGTCCCAGCAGTGTTTGCCATACCAGCAGCAAACCGACCTGGCTTCACAGGCTATTTTATCCCAACACCACCCACCGCATACAGGAACCAAGCCTGGATGCCCTATGCTGGAGAGAATGAATTACCAGGGCAGTGGGCAGACTCAGTAAGCATCCTTGCTTTTCTAACTACATATGTTTTCTGTGATTTGCACAGGAGAGGGTTTAAGCAATGCTAAGTGGTCAGCAAAGAACATGAGAGGGATAATTCTTCCTTGAATGGGAATAATCCCTAGTAATGAAAAGCTGTAAGAAAGGACATAGATACTTTAGCTGTCCGTCCCATGAACTGAAAGCAAGGTCTTTAGAGAGTTATATCATTCACTAGGTTAGGGACTGGCACCCATTTAAAGCTGGTGAGTTAGGTACCATTTTTCTTTCCCAAGACAGAGGTTAAATAATTGGATAGGCACAAGGCAGGATTATATGATGTTGCCTCTCAAGGTGGCCTTGTGCTGTTTGGAAGCTGGGGAGCATCTTTCCCCTCTGGAGGCTTCTCTCAAGACAGACCAGCTCCTGAATCCTAGCTCAGAGCACTGCTGCAGCCCTTCCTGCTGCACAGTGATTCAAGTCCTCCTGCAGGCTAGAGTGACAGACCATAAAATAAATCATTACTTGCACAATCCTAGTCTGAGAAAGACGTAATTTTTAGCCCAGACTGTACCTACGTTTCAAAGAAATAAAGTTGAAACATCCTAAAATGAATTGCAGTAGTTTATCATGTTTGGAACAATTTCTAAAATGTAGGGCTTTTTTCCACTAGGGAAAAGAAGAAAAGATCAGTTCTGCTGCTTGAGCTCACATCTGGTATTTATGCAGAACCAATTCAGCTAAACAAACTGGGAGATAGATTCTATTTCCTTGTGCATATCGTCAACAGAATATTCTAGTGATGGCAGTTACAGTCTAAGTTGGCTTTGAGCAGCTAAGCAAGAGACAACATGGTCATATAAATGTGCCTGGGGGTGGCTATTTGTTGGCAAATCTTTATTACTGCTCCTAATGCCTGCGGGGAAAAGAATTTGGTTTGGCTGTCAGATGCAAGCCTGAATCTGTAGGCTGAACTGTTGGGAAAAAAGAGGTTCATCTGTAAGCTGAGCGCATCTGCTGCTGTGCCCCTGACACCGGGAGGCTTGTGGTGCTGTGGTACAGATTCCCTCCCCAGAGCTGCCATTTAAAGCAGGCAAAACTGTTTTATTTTCTTTGTTGGTGTTGTTGGTTTGGGGTTGGGTTTTTTTTTGGTTTTTACCTTACCAACATTTTAAATTCAGGAGGTCTCTTGTATCTGAGCAGTCATCCAAACGTTTTCTTTAAGAACCACCAGACAAATCAGGAAAAATATTTTACTTATCTCCTGTTCTTTTCCCTTCAGCATCTCTACTTCTTGGCAGCAGTCCCATGAAAAAAGTCAGATATCTAGATATAAGGAAGATGTTCTTCACAGTGAGGGTGGTGAGGCATTGGAATGGGTTGCCCAAGGAAGTTGTGAATGCTCCGACCCTGGAGGTGTTCAAGGCCAGGCTGGACAGAGCCTTGGGCGACATAGTTTAGTGTGTGGTGTCCCTGCTCATGGCAGGGGGGTTGGAACTAGATGATCTTAAGGTCCTTTCCAACCCTAACTATTCTATGATTCTATGATCACATGTCAAAAGTGGAGGATGAAACTGGAAAGCAAGTGTCCAACCCCCAGTTCCTTCCTCTGGAAAGAGAAGAGAACCCTGTTGTGGGTTTCACTGTTTCCAGGGAAAGAGGTGGGAACAGCAGTTAGTGCCAGTGGATCGTACACAGAGGAATGGTGAGGGAGGCAAGAAGCTGCCTGAAAAATAACTGTGGCAATATAGAATTCCAAGGAAATAAATGTTCCTTTTAACTCCATTTACCTATTACAGAGCTTTAACAACTGAGTGCTCAGATTTTCATCCCTCCTGTGACCTTGCAGGAAGAAAAAGAAAATTTAAACCAAAATACTGCAGTTTCCACATGGAATCTGCACCTCCCAATGACTGCAAATCTGACAAGAGATTGTCTTTATTTGAGAATCATTACTAGAGGAACTAGTAATAGTGTTAGCAACATAATACAGTCAGAAGCCTGAATAAAACTGCAAAAAGTAAAGACCTAAAGGAATATTCCAGGTTTGAGTTTCTGGATGCTTTCTGGTTTCTGAGCCTCTAGAGTATAGCTTGATCATGCTTGCAAGATTTTCTTGACTGTTTGTAAGAACAATGGCTTAATATCCATAAGGTGAAAATTGAAATTCTTTACTTTGCATGCATTTCCACCAGCTAGGCTGTAAACAGGGAACATGGGAAACAGAGATTTGGCAAAAAAGAATTCTCTTATAAGCTCAATTTACTGCTGTGTATTATTTTCGCGGTTAAATGGTAAGTATTGAAGCACTACGTTTTGTGGGAGAGGGCAACCGTATCCAACAAAGCAGTTATTTTCCAAATTGCCAGATGCTGCTTAGTTAAAGTAGTAACTTGGTGGCCTCTAGTGGCCTGTTCACATGTTGTACTACTAAAATGTCTTGAATAATCTATTGTAAACTGAAGAGGCAGCTGCGTTTAATGATCACTTTTGTATCGTGCCTGCTTCCTGTGTTTGTCTCATTACACTATTCCGAATGTGTCTGACATTCTCTTCGTCATTTGAAGGATATCCGAGATCATAAGGAGCATGAGTGAATCTTAGTGGTTAGGCTTTAACGGGTTCTTAGATGCTTGAAGTGGCCAAAATGGGATTTAACCAAAATTCCAAAGCTGTCATTCTGCAGTCCCTGCTGCAGTCCCGTGTTCCCCAGAAGGCCCTGGTGGGTGATGCACCTTACACCTTAGCCTGACTGACACCCAGAAATCAGCTGACATACCGGCCTGACCACCTGTGTTATATGCTTATGCAAGACTAATGGATTTGGGAAGTCAAATACATTAAAGCAAATTTAAAGCAAAAAGAATTGCAAAGTTAATGTTTTAGTCATTAAACATTGCGGAAACTTAGCTCTTCACTTACAAGTTAATTAACAGATTCATTATCTCTAAACTGGAGAGACATAAATTTGACTGATGGACCACTTGGTGGATAAAGAATTGTCTGGATGGCTGCACACAGAGTTGCAGTCAACGGCTCGATGTCCATCTGGAGATGGGTAACGAGTGGTGTCCCTCAGGGGTTGGTGTTGGGACCTGTGTTGTTCAACATCTTTGTGGGTGACATGGACAGTGGGATTGATGCACCCTCAGCAAGTTTGCCGACGACACCAAGCTGTGTGGCTCGGTTGATACGCTGGAGGGAAGGGATGGGATCCAGAGGGACCTGGACACGCTTGTGAGGTGGGCCAATGCCAACCTCATGAAGTTTAACCAAGCCAACTGCAAGGTCCTACACCTGAGTTGGGGCAATCCCAGGCATAGGCTGGGAGAAGAGATTCAGAGCAGTCCTGCAGAGAAGGACTTGAGGGTGTTGGTTGATGAGAAACTGAACATGAGCCAACCGTATCCTGGGCTGCATCAAAAGAAGTGTGACCAAAGGAGGTGATCCTGCCCCTCTCGTGAGACTCTGCTCTCAGGAGACTCCACTTGGAGTGCTGTGTGTAGTTCTGGTGTTCTCAACATAAAAAGGACGTGGAGCTGTTGGAGCAAGCCCAGAGGAGGGCCACGAGGATGATAAGAGGACTGGAGCACCTCCCGTATGAAGACAGGCTGAGAAAGTTGGGGCTGTTCAGCCTGGAGAAGAGAAGCTGCGTGGAGACCTCATAGCAGCCTTCCAGTATCTGAAAGGGGGCCTACAAGGGTGTTGGAGAGGGACTCTTCATCAGGGACTGTGGTGATAGGACAAGGGGTAATGGGTTCAAACTAAAGCAGGAGAAGTTCAGCTCAGACATAAGGAAGAAGTTCTTTACTGTGAGGGTGGTGAGGCATCCCTCCCTACAGCAGGGGGGTTGGAACTAGATGATCTTAAGGTCCTTTCCAACCCTAACTGTTCCATGATTCTAAGTGTCATATACTGAGTATAGTGTAGATAAGTGTAGTTTTCCGAGTGACTCAGTTCATAGAAGAGCATCACCCAACTTTCCTTGCTTCTTGTTGGCAAGTACTAGAGTGATTAGCTGGCAAGCTTTTTCTCAAGGAGAAATTATCTTGTCCTAGTAACAGGTTATAGGTTGCTTTCTGTAACAACATAAAGTCTTCTTCAAAATGAAGGACTGTAGATTCCTGTTTTATAGACTTTTGCAAAACATAAATACTATTTTTATGTGATGCATTAAAAACTTCTGAGGACAGTAAAACTTGTATCATGCTTCATGGATTTGTGAAGGAAATTTAGTATCTCATAGTAACTAAAGAACCTAAGTTATTCTTTTAATTTTAGCCAGTGTAACACTGGGCTGAATTCACTGAAGTTACAACAGAGTAAAATTTTGAATCCCCCATGGAATGTGGCCAGAAATCCTGATACTTCTGAGACTTCAAATCTTCTTTTCCATGTTGAGTTTCCAGGTTGGTGTACCTGAGCTTATGTAGTGAGTTTTTGTTAGGAACAGTAAGTCTAGAGACTTGGCTGACTTGGATGAGGCGGTGGCTGCAAATCAGTGAACTCTACTTTTCTGTTCTAGGCTTTTTGATGTCCTGCAATGTAGTGGTGCTGCCTGTTTCAAACTGAAATGTTTAGGAGGAATAGTAAGCAGAGAACACACTTTCAGAAAAGTCTTCCCCCTTGGACTTTTTGCAGTGATGGTATATCAGGACATGCAGTGTTTTCCCTGCTAGGTGTTTTTGCTGCCACAGTCTGGGAAGTCGAGTGCTCGGTACATTGGCATGTGTGCATAAATGGCACATGTCAAGATAGACAGCTGTAAATGTATGCTTAGGATTATGAAGTTTACATTATCTTCATATGGTCCTATCTGTTCCATCTTATTCTGCCCTGGGGAGGGTTGTGTTACCTGGCAGGTGGCACTATGGATCAATTGTTCTGTATAATTTTGTGCAATTAAATACTCTACAGGTTCCACTTCCTGGATACATTGAGGCTTATCCGAGGCCCCGCTACCAACATAACTCTCCTTCCCGACTGCCTCGGCAGTACAGCCAGCAAGCAAGCATGCATCCCAGCCTGGAGCAAGCTCCTTTGCCATCCACTGCAGCTTCCCAGCAAAGCCTGACGGAAAATGACCCATCTGATGCTCCTCTTACCAACATTTCTACAGCTGCCCTTGTAAAGGCAATAAGAGAAGAAGTTGCTAAACTGGCCAAGAAGCAAACAGATATGTTTGAGTTCCAGGTCTAATATCTTTTGTGCACACTATTTGTATCATGCAACCTGGAGTAGCCAAGAAAGTGACTCTTGTTTTCAGTTACAAATTTGCTGTGATTGTGCCAAAGTGATGGCATTTTTCTCTGTCTGAAATGTCAGTACTATGAGATGACTTAAAGTACAGCAACAGAACTCTGAAGACATGTAATTCTGCTTGCCAGCTAAGGAAATGCTGCCAGGTAACTGTTTAATATGGATAAGGGTGATCATATGCAATTGTTTGTCACTTAGCTCTTGTATTATGACCCATGATCAATAGGGATGCTGCTGAACATATCTGTGCCACAAAGTGTTTCATTTGCAGGCCCAGAGGTAGAGCTGCTGCAAATAACTTCTGCATGTCAAAACTTTGATTCAAGAAGAGGATACAGTAGAACATGGTTAGCTAAAGGCCACGGTATGTGCAGAACGGGTCATGTTAATTGTTTGCTGCAGGACATTGTATAAGGGACGCTGATTTCGGCAATACAGTCATTCAGCCTTTTCATTCTAGAGACTGTATTCAAACCAAAAGAATTTGAGATGAGTAAGTAATACAAATAATTATCCTGTAAATAGCTCTGATTCTCCTCATCCTATTAACAGTACAAAGAGGTGAAAGGAGAGAAGACTGTGAAGAAGATGAATGATAATTTGATAATTGGTGGCTACCTTGTCCCTTGATGCTACTGATGAGTTATGGACGAGATTTTGCTCAGTATGAAAGAATGCAATGCACAAAGAGCCAACAAAGGATACTGGTGCTAGAAGCTTCCAGATAAATGAAAAAGGGTTACTTGCGTTTGCTCTATGTTCAGGCTTTTCACTCTGAATGTATGTGAAGCTGGTAAACCTGAGACCTTTAAGCAAGTCTTTCCAACCTGGAATAATGAATACACCTGCCTGGACAAGAAAACCTCTGTTTAACACAGTGCTTTTTTCTCTTTCTTAAACAATGATATCTACTAAAGTGATGCCAGAAAGTGCTACCTGAAGCTGCAGTTGAGATTTTGATTACACTGGAACAGTGAATGCACACCTAGGAAGTTCTGAATGTAGAGGACCTAATTACTATATTAATGTGTAAATAAGTAAGCAATTACTTGGATTAACAAAAATACTAATGTTCTGTGTAAAAGAGAGCATCTCCAGAAATTATACTGACTTTATATTGTGCAAGATAAGGGTCACTGATTGTTAAACTGCACCGTTGTATGAATCCAACCCCAAAAGAAAATCAAACCAATTGAATGGGGCAGTAGTTGATCTTTTGCAGTTGTACAAACTTGTTGGAGATCACAGTTGTTTTCGGTTCCTTCAGCAGTTAGCTTTGGGTACTGAAGTTGTTGCAATATTTGTTGTGTTAGGCATATATGGTGTCAGCTGGAGTTAAAGGTAATGATGTCCTTCATTTCAGTAAGTTATTTAGTTCTCCTCAATTGCTTATGCTGTTTTGTCTGATCATTTCATTTCCCTGAGTTTCTTTGGTCTTTACTGAGGTGTGAAAGGGAACTTAGTTTAGCTTTTCGGCCATCAGTAAAATGAGAGGAGACTAGAATAGGGGGCAGAAGATGAAGTTGATGAAGCACAAACTTTTAAAGCAGAGCTATTTTTTCCCCCAAATAATTATATTATAAACCCTGACTGAGATTGTGATACACAGTTATCCTAGAATATACAGATATCTTCTGCTCAATACCTTAAATATTGCAGAAGCTTTTGGAATGCTAGCTAATCTTTCAACAAATGTGAAATTTCATTTTTATTATTTAAAATCAGATATAAATAAAATGTATTTTTGTAATTTCTGTGTATATATGTGCTGTATATTTATATAAGTGACTAGTCTGTAATAGTCAGAAAATTTCCATAAACCAAGTAAAAAAAAAAAGGAAACCCTATTAATGTTAATGATCAGTATAAACATGCTATGTCAGGAGTACACAAATAGACATTTGGATGACTTGGGTACAAAACAACCAAAGAAACTCAATCTTCCATATAAATACAGTCTAGCAGAGACAGACTGCTGTCTCAGTTACCTGTCAGCTAAATAATACTGATCTTATCAGTGTAATACCATATATCCAAATTGTGTTGAATTAATAGCTGCCTGAGAGTATCACACTTTAAAATAACAAGTTAAAAATACTGTGCTAAACTCAGTGTGCCATAATAAGACTAACTCTGGTTGGCTGCAGTGGCAACTCCACTCACTGAGAGCAAGGCTGAGTTTCTCTGGTAGGATTCGTCCATACGTATGAGTTTCACTAGAATCCCTTGAACAATATTCTGCTTATCTCGCAGTCATTAAAATCACTGTAACATAAGTGCGGTCAGCAGTGAAGAGTGGCTCACTGTTATTTAGCCTAAGCTGGTTCGTAACTTTACTGACCTTAGTAAGTGAAGTCTACACTAAATCATGCCAGCCACATTTTGCATCTACTTTATTATCTCAGTTTTTCAATTATTCTTCCATTTAGCCCAGTGAAATTTTGCAAGTAGATATTGCCCTTCTATGCAATAGGAGGGAAATGGGCTGTGAAATAAATATCTGTATCTTGGACTCCAATTTTGCAGAGTTATCCTAAAGCTGCAAGTATGGAAGCAGCAGCAATCACATGGATGGGAGTGCTGAAGCCATGTAGCTGGGAAGGGTGATGTTACGACATATTTCCAAAAGAGTCACAGGAGGTAGGACACACCAGATTATACAGCATCTTTGGGACACTTAGCCCTCTTTGTAAATCTGTAGCCATTCTAAAATATAAGCAATTTAGTAGTCCTGTAAAAAAATACGTGAGTATATCTTAAATAATGAAGCATATATCTTGCCATACTGGAAATTAAAGTTTGGATATTACATAGATGTACAGGCTTTGAATGCCTGCATACAAATGAAGTGAACAAATACAAAAATAAAAAAAAAACCCAAAAGACATTTAAATAGCCTTCTAGAAAACTGTTTCAGTAAAGTTAAACAAAGTACTCTTCATACAACTGAGGAAGACCTGTTTGCCTTTCAGAATTAATTTTGTTTGGTATTGTTATTGATGATGTGCAGTCCACTGAATATTTCCTGAACCATCGCTCTGAAACCATTGTGGTGCACTTTATTCACAAAGATATCTTACATTCCTCACGGCTTTTTATCCTGTTTGTAATATGTTTCTGTATTTTTATTTTGTTTTTTTAAGTACAAAGTAAGATTATATCAAGACAGTAAGGACATTCCTGGGAAAGAAAAATCATGCTGTAATATACTGTTTGAGCACAAAGCAATGATAAAGTGAAAATATAGTGTATAAATAATTTGTAATATAATAAACATTTTGTATGGCTACAATATAGTTTTTCAATACTGATTTTAAAGAAGAAAGTATACTTGGTTAAAGTTACAACATCATGGACATATATTTATGCCATTTTTACTGATAAAAATGTAGACTATTAAGGTTTTTCTACTAAATACCCCAGTGTTCTTTAAAATTATGTTAAATGTTAAATGAAAATACTGTTTTCTGTCTACAGAAATTTCGATGTTCTGACCACTATTTATCTTCAGATTTGTAAATCATCTGTAGAAACATCTGCAAATGAAACACACGTAAAATTCCTTCTTGGTATGTGTATAATGACCACTGTCAGTACGTATATTATGTGTGACATTTATGAACATCAGTAACTTTATAGAGGATAAGGCTGCTCTTGAACAGTCATTTTATTGAGAAAAGCGTATCATCTGGATCTGAGAGAAGCTCTAGCACTTGGTCTAGAAATATGAATATTTGTATCTGATAATATTACAGGTAGAGCTTGATAAAAGTGCATGTAAACCATATGCTGAAATGGGGAAATTATTGTAAGTAATGATCATTTCTTTTTCAGGCTAACTTTGAAAAGGTGAGAGGTAAGAAACATAAGATAAAGATGTGAAGCAAGTAGAAAAGGCAACACTGGACTGATTGGCAGAACTGTCTTGTTTGAAAGATGATACATACAAAGCTAACTATATATTTTAAGATGTCTTGACTGTTAAAGAATTAATTACCTTTTAATGTACCTTTTTAGTCCAGCATTGCAAATGTAAGAGCTAATGCCAGCTTCTAAAAGTCTGAAAGAGCTTAAAAGCAGTAAGTTTTCTGAGCTAGTAGATGTCACTTTGTTTTGCTGACCTTGTTCATCCTGTACACGTCTGAGCAGCTCTGAGTACTGTGTCCAAGGACGCTGTTTATCACTCACATTCCTGACCTTGCATTTCCAGTACATAACTAAATCTCTGTGGCTTCCCAAACCTGACCGATATGAAATGGGAAAAAGAACAAGTGCAAAATAATAGGAAGGATATTAACAGGTCAAGACTACCTTGCTAGTCTGGAAGCCATGGATCACCCAAACCATTCTATGATTCTGTGATCTTCTACGGCATGTTAACTCATGCCTACTAGAAAATGGTTGCGTTTGGCAGCTCTTCTTGGCATGATACAGTCCTCTCATTGTCAGTGACTGGTATGTATAAATTAAGATTCAGTTCTGTCGCAAGAGAGTGTATCCATTCATGCTTCCATTCCTTTGTCTAAGCCATGTCCGTTCTCTATGCAGCTCCATGAGTGTGGCATAATTAACATGGGTAGTTTCCAGTTACTGAAAATAATCTCTTGTAATAAAACAAGTTGTATGGCATCTAATGTATATTTTGTTACATCATTAGAAGCGGGGGAAAAAAAGGCATGCTCATACAGTATGTTAGTATATTAACACCTTTAGCCTTTTTTTTTCCAGGCTTTGTGAAAAAGGAAAGGTCAGTCTGCTAAGATCAGGACTGCTCACTGGTCAGAGCACGGCAGCCCGCTATGCTCAGTATGCCGGTGCGGCTGATGGAGCAGATGTCTCCACTCACCACTTAGTGCCCCTCCATAAAAGGCTACAAGCACACTGCTGTTCTGAGTAAGACAGACATAATTTTGAAAATAGGTATAAACTAGGTAGAATAC